AGAATCCTTGCATTCCTGGGATAAACCCCCCTTGATCATGGTGTATGATCCTTTTAATGTGCTGTTGGATTCTGTTTGCTAGTATTTTGTTGAGGATTTTTGCATCTATGTTCATCAGTGCTTTTGGCCTGTAGTTTTCTTTCTTTGTGACATCTTTATCTGGTTTTGGTATCAGGGTGATGGTGGGTGGCCTCGTAGAATGTGGTTGGGTGTGTTCCTCCCTCTGCTATATTTTGGAAGAGTTTGAGAAGGATAGGTGTTAGCTCTTTACTAAATGTTTGATAGAATTTGCCTGTGAAGCTATCTGGTCCTGGGCTTTTGTTGGTTAGAAGATTTTTAATCACAGTTTCAATTTCACTGCTTGTGATTGGACTGTTCACATTTTCTATTTCTTCCTGGTTCAGTCTCGGAAGGTTGTGCATTTCTAAGAATTGTCCATTTCTTCTAGGTTGTCCATTTCATTGGCCTAGAGCTGCTTGTAGTAATCTCTCATTATCCTTTGTATTTCTGCAGTGTCAGTTGTTACTTCTTTTGCATTTCTAATTCTATTGATTTGAGGCTTCTCCCATTTTTTCTTGATGAGTGTGGCTAATGGTTTATCAATTTTGTTTTTCTTCTCAAAGAACCAGCTTTTAGTTTTATTGATCTTTGTTATCGTTTCCTTCATTTCTTTTTCATTTATTTCTGATCTGATCTTTATGATTTCTTTCCTTCTGCTAACTTTGGGGTTTTTTTTGTTCTTCTTTCTCTAATTGCTTTAGGTATAAGGTTAGGTTTTTTATTTGAGATGTTTCCTGTTTCTTAAGGTAGGATTGTATTGCTATAAACTTCCCTCTTAGAACTGCTTTTGCTGCATCCCATAGGTTTTGGGTCATCTTGTCTCCATTGTCATTTGTTTCTAGATGTTTTCTGATTTTCTCTTTGATTTCTTCAGTGATCACTTCGTTATTAAGTAGTGTATTGTTTAGCCTCCATGTGTTTGTATTCTTTACAGATCTTTTCCTGTAATTGATATCTAGTCTCATAGCGTTGTGTTCAGAAAAGATACTTGATACAATTTCTGTTTTCTTAAATTGACCAAGGCTTGATTTGTGACCCAAGATAGATATGATCTATCCTGGAGAATGTTACATGAGCACTTGAGACGAATGTGTATTCTGTTGTTTTTGGATGGAATGTCCTATAAATATCAAATAAGTCCATCTTGTTTAATGTATCATTTAAAGCTTGTGTTTCCTTATTATTTTCATTTTGGATGATCTGTCCATTGGTGAAAGTGGGGTGTTAAAGTCCAATACTATGATTGTGTTACTGTCGATTTCCCCTTTTATGGCTGTTAGTATTTGCCTTATGTATTGAGGTGCTCCTGTGTTGGGTGCATAAATATTTACAATTGTTATGTCTTCTTCTTGGATCGATACCTTGATCATTATGTAGTGTCCTTCTTTGTTGCTTTTAATAGTCTTTTTTTTTAAGTCTATTTTGTCTGATAAGAGAATTTCTACTCCAGCTTTCTTTTGATTTGCATTTGCATGGAATATCTTTTTCTGTCCCCTCACTTTCAGTCTGTATGTTTCCCTACGTCTGAAGTGAGTCTCTTGTACACAGCATGTATACTGGTCTTGTTTTTGTATCCATTCAGCCAGTGTGTGTCTTTTGGTTGGAGCATTTAATCCATTTACATTTAAGGTTATTATCGATATGTAAGTTCCTGTTCCCATTTTCTTAATTGTTTTGTGTTTGTTATTGTAGGTCTTTTCCTTCTCTTGTGTTTTCCTTTAGCATTTGGAATGCTAAAGTTCCTTTAGCATTTGTTGTAAAGCTGTTTTGGTGGTGCTGAATTCTCTTAGCTTTTGCCTCTCTGTAAAGCTTTTAATTCCTCCATCAAATCTGAATGAGATCCTTGCTGGGTAGAGTAATCTTGGTTGTAGGTTTTTCTCCTTTATCACTTTAAATATGTCCTGCTAGTCCCTTCTGGCTTGCAGAGTTTCTCCGGAAAGATCAGCTGTTAATGGGGGATTCCGTTGTGTGTTATTTGTTGTTTTTCTGTTGCTGCTTTTAATATTTTCTCTTTGTATTTAATTTTTGATACTTTGATTATTATGTGTCTTGGCATGTTTCTCTTTGGATTTATCCTGTGTGGGACTCTCTGTGCTTCCTGGACTTGATTAACTATTTCATTTGCCATATTAGGGAAATTTTGAACTATAATCTCTTCAAATATTTTCTCAGCCCCTTTCTTTTTCTTTTCTTCTTCTGGGGCCCTGTAATTCGAATGTTGGTGCATTTAATGTTGTTCAAGAGGTCTCTGAGACTGTCCTCAATTCTTTTCATTCTTTTTTCTTTATTTTGCTCTGCAGTTGTTATTTCCATGATTTTATCTTCCACGTAACTTATCCGTTCTTCTGCCTCAGTTATTCTGCTATTGATCCCTTCAAGAGAATTTTTAATTTCATTTATTGTGTTCATTACTGTTTGTTTGCTCTTTAGTTCTCCTAGGTCCTTGTTAAACTTTTCTTGTATTTATTCTATTTCCAAGATTTTGGATCATCTTTGCTATCATTATTCTGAATTCTTTTTCAGGTAGACTGCCTGTTTCCTCTTCATTTGTTATGTCTGGTGGGTTTTTGCCTTGCTCCTTCATCTGCTGTGTGTTTTTCTGTCTTCTTATTTTGCTTAACTTACTGTGTTTGTGGTCTCCTTCTCACAGGCTGCAGGTTCGTAGTTCCCGTTGCTTTTGGTGTCTGTCCCCGGTGGCTAAGGTTGGTTCAGTGGATTGTGTAGGCTTCCTGGTGGAGGGGACTAGTGCCTGTGTTCTGGTGGATGAGGCTGGATCTTGTCTTTCTGGTGGGCAGGTCCACATCTGGTGGTGTGTTTTGGGGTGTCTGTGTCCTTATTATGATTTTAGCAGCCTCTCTGCTAATGGATGGGGTTGTGTTCCTGTCTTGCTAGTTGTTTGGCATAGGGTGTCCAGCACTGTAGCTTGCTGGTCATTGAGTGAAGCTGGGTGCTGGTGTTGAGATGGAGATTTCTGGGAGATTTTCGCCGTTTGATATTACATGGGGCTCGGAGGTCTCTTGTGGACCAGTGTTCTGAGCTTGGCTCTCCCACCTCAGAGGCACAGCCCTGATGCCTGGCTGGAGCACAAAGAGCCTTTCATCCACACAGCTCAGAATAAAAGGGAGAAAAAATAGAAAGAAAGAAAGAAGATAAAATAAAATAAAGTTATTAAAATAAGAACTAATTTTTAAGAAAAATTTTTTTAAAAGTAATAAAGAAAATGGACAGAGAGAACCCTAGGACAAATGGTAAAAGTAAAGCTGTAAAGACAAAATTACACACAGAAGCATACACATACACACTCACAAGAAGAAAAAGGGAAAAAATATATATATATCTTTGCTCCCAAAGTCCACCTCCTCAATTTGGGATGATTCATTGTCTATTCAGGTATTCCACAGATGCAGGGTACATGACGTTGATTGTGGAGATTTAATCCCCTGCTCCTGAGGCGGCTGGGAGAAATTTCCCTTTCTCTTCTTTGTTCGCACAGCTCCCAGGGCTCAGCTTTGGACCCGCCTCTCTGCATGTAGGTCGCCTGAGATCCTCTGTTCTTTGCTCAGACAGGTTGGGGTTTAAGGAGCAGCTGATTCGGGGGCTCTGGCTCACTCAGGATGGAGTGAGGGAGGGGTACGGTTGCGGGGCTACCCGACGGCGGCACAGGCCGGCATGGCATGACATTGCAGTACCCTGAGGCACGCCATGTGTTCTCCTGGGGAAGTTTCCCTGGATCACGGGACCCTGGCAGTGGCAGGCTGCACAGGCTTCCGGGAGCATAGGTGTGGATAGTGACCTGTGCTTGTACACAGGCTTCTTGGTAGCTGCAGCAACCTTCACGTCTCATGCCTGTCTCCTGGGTCCATGCTGATAGCCGCGGCTCGCGCCCGTCTCTAGAACTCCTTTAAGTGGCGCTCTTAATCCCCTCTCCTCACGCACCAGGAAACAGAGAGGCAAGAAAAAGTCTCTTGCCTCTTCGGCACCTCCACACTTTTTCCCGGACTTCCTCCCAGCTAGCTGTAGTGCACTGACCCCTTCAGGCTGTGTTTACACATCCAACCCCAGTCCTCTCCCTGGGATCCGAGCCTCAGCTCCCAGCCCCCGCCCACCCCGGCAGGTGAGCAGACAAGCCTCTCGGGCTGGTGCGTGCTGGTCGGCACCAATCCTCTGTGCGGGAATCTCTCCGCTTTGCCCTCCACACCCATGTTTCTGCGCTCTTGTCCGTGGCTCTGAAGCTCCCCCCCTCCACCACCCGCAGTCTCTGCCCGCGAAGGGGCTTCCTAGTATGTGGAAACCTTTCCTCCTTCACAGCTCCCTCCCACTGGTGCGGGTCCCGTGCCTATTCTTTTCTCTGTTTTTTCTTTTGCACTACCCATGTACGTGGGGAGTTTCTTGCCTTTTGGGAGGTCTGAGGTTTTCTGCCACCGTTCAGTAGGTGTTCTGTAGGAGCCGTTCCACGTGTAGATGTATTTCTGATGTATTTGTGGAGACGAAGATGATGATCTCTGCGTCTTACTCTTCTGCCGTCTTGAAGCTGCTCTAAATTGATGAGGTTTTTGTTCAGCTTTGTTGAGGCGTAGTTTACCCTGATAAGTTTGATAATCAGAATAGCTTTTGCACTTTTCATGGGCTTTAAGGAAATTCAGTGAATTTCCTTATGAATATAGATAATAACATTGTATCATTCATAGAACTCTTAATTTTTATATGCATCTAGATCATTTAGCTTCTTTGTAAGAGCATACATTTCTTTAAGAACAGATAACTGCCTAGTCTTTCTCTTGGAAAGCCCCACAGTGCTTATTATGGCCCTGTATATGACATGTACACTAATTTTGAGACACAGAGCTTAGTTTGTTCAGTGAGGAAGTGTAAACTATTACAAAAATGTTTGCTGATAGGATCTGCAAAAATACCTTGACCATTTCTCAATTCTATATCAGGATGCAACAACAGAATGAAACTCAGTGGAAGACCCTACAGACACATGGGAGTCCTTGGAACTTCAAAACTCTATGACATTCGGAAAACTATCTTTACCTTCACTCCACAGGTGGGTGGACTGAGCTTTAATGTGCATTGAGATGAATGGAAATAAAAGAGAAACACTATAGAAATAAAGCATTTAGTGGAGTTGAGACAAGTGTCAGAGTTTCATGGGACCTTGTATATATTAAGTTGCTCAATAAATAGGGTTGGCCAAAAAGTTCGTTTTGGTTTTTTCCATATGTTATGGAAAAACATGAACGAACTTTTTGGCCAGCCCAGTCTTTGTTGGGTTGGACTGAATTGATCTTGAAGCACAGAGCTATGCCAAGTGACTTTGGCTACCAAGAGTAGTCCTGGGTGTTGCAGAAACAGTGATTAAGGATTTTATAAATGTTGGAGTACTTTTAAAAGTACTCTTTATTAAAGATTAAAAATAATACTGTATTCTTGATAAACAAAATATAGTCTTTTTTATTCAGCTACTGAATTAAGTGTTCTATTTGTTTTGGCGAAGTGCCCTTTTTACATGCCCAGAAATCTCTGATATCCTCTTCTAAACAAAAATGTCAGTACTGTTTTAGCCATGATTATACACTGTTTATTAGCCTGATGTTTATTACCCATATTATAATAGCAAGCCTTATTATATGTGTGAATAGGAGGATAAACTATTTTCTGAAAAAAAAGCTTAAGCTTTCTTTTGTCATCTTACATCTGAAATAGTGCAACTGAGGTATAGATGAAAGAATAATGGACCATAGATTCTATCTCTGATTTTGCCATTTGCTAGTCATATAACTTTGCTAATCTACTCAGTGTCTCTTGGCCTTATTTTTTTATCTATTAAAAAGGAGAAAAGCCCTCACTGGGTTGTTAGAATTAAATAAAATCATGTACTTGAAAACACTTTGTAAGCTATAACACACTAAAAATGTCCAGAACTACTGTTTGTACCAGTAAGCCACCAGATACTTTGGGAAGAATTAGACATTAAATTTGGAGGTATTGTTGCCCTTGTGATATCTTATATACCCTTGTGTATATGTGAGCACTTTGAAATATTATTTGATAGTTGTGAGAGTAAATTATTCTGAACTGTTATTTTCCTTTTTCTCAGTTTATAGATCAGCAACAATTCTACCTGGCTCTGGACAACAAGATGATAGTGGAAATGCTTAGAACAGACCTCTCCTATCTCTGTAGCCGCTGGAGAATGACAGGCCAGCCCACCATCACCTTCCCCATCTCACACAGCATGCTTGGTAAGGATGTATGAGGCAAGGAACGAATGTATTTTTGAAATAAGTCATGTGGTTGGCCCTTCAAAATCATAGAGTCACTGGAAAGCTACTTTTTGTCATTTATTCTTTCAGCAGTTTTTTTAAGCTCTTGTTTTGTACCAGGCACTTTTCAAAGCACTGGGCATACATGGGGTGAATATGGCAGTTGAGGTTTCTACTCTCACGGAGCTTATGTTTTAGAATAAATATGTAACAAATAAACCAGTACACAAGAATATTTCAGGTGGTTTGAGAGCTATAATTCAAGATATGTAATAGAATAACTTGTTTGGGGCTACTTCAGATAATTGGTTTCTAGGCCATTTTATAGAAACTTTATTAACACGATTCATTTTAAAGACAGTAGTACTATATTCTGCATCTGTCTTACTCCAGTAGAGCATCAAGATTTTATAGATAAGTTCCTAAACTTCTCTTTGCAAGGCTTGCCTAACTGAAGCAATAAAATCTAGCAGGGAAAAGTAAAAAGCCTTTCAGTTTATCTTTCCTTTATTAGCTGGGCTTCCTGACACTGCTTACTTGAAACTAAGTGAAAGGCTTTGTTGTTCTCTCAGTTCCTGGAGAACTAGAGCCAATACTGAAGCACTGCTTCCTTTCTGTATCTCTGCTGTTGCTTCCAAAGGCCTGTTTGTACTACCAAAGTACATAGAATTCCTTTTCATTAGAGAAGAATCCTTTGTCATAAATCATTCAAAGTCCAGACAGACTGTTAGGGATTTTGGTCACATCTCTAAAGTGCTTCAAAAGCACAGGAGTCCAGTGTACTTGTGTACCCATGAATAGTTGAAAGGTTCATTTCTACCTCGACATGTCTTTTCTCTCTGAGAAATACACACATTTTATCAAGTTTGATATAAATAAAACACTCAAAAAATGTAAAAAAAAAAGCACAGGAGTTGAGGAAGTAGGGTAGTCTTTCTTCTTTTTGTCTTTCTTCTTTATTTAAAACAATTAACAAGTGCCCATTTAATAACTACTGTGTTCCCAGAACTGTCTTTAGAAAGTATAAAGTCTAATTGGAGAAACAAAGCTAATTCACAAAATTAGTAGAAAACAATTCAAGACAGTATATAAAGAAGTACTAAACCATTAGATTAGTATTTTACAGTGACAGTGATCAAGTTGTCAAAGAAAATTTCTTGACTAGGTGGGACTTATCCAGGCTTTTTGGGATGTGTAGTATTCATATGTGAGGAGAGAAGAAGGAAAGGTACTTTAGGTGAGGGAAAAAATACCATGGGTGAAGCCTGGAGGCAGGGATGCCCTTGACTTGTGAGTGGACAGTGAAGAGGCCAAGCTGAATAGAGTGGGCCTTTCATGTTGGAGTATAATTATCAACAAAATTGGATTAGTAAAATGGGGTCAGATTATGAAGACCTTGAAAATAAGCAGAGAAATTTAAAACAAATTGTCTCAGAAGTCTGAAGCTATTAAAAGTTTTTGAGCAAGGAGTGATATGATGAAAGTGATATCTAGGGAATATTGACTTAGTGACAGTATACACTGTAGTTAGAAGAATCTGATATCAAGGAAACTAATCCAAGTATGAGGTGATGAGAAGATACACTGGATTGATGATAGTAAAAACTGAGTGGGAAAGAAGGATACAAGAGTCATTTTAAACACCACCTGCAAGTCAGGTGTTGGCTGACTAGATATGAGATATGAATCAAGATAATGCCAACATTTAGAGAGACTAGGTAAATAATGCTGCCATTGATATAAGAGAAATTATAAAGGAAGATGCCAGTTGTAAAGGGACATGTTGAGTTTGTAGTGCCAAAGAGGTTTCAAAATTGAAATGCCTAATAGTTGGGATGAGATATACAGCCATAGCTTGGGAAGAAGAATAAAATTAAGATCTAGATTTAAGTCACAAAGTTTTGATACTTGGTACATGGTCACACAACAAAAAACAGAAGTATCAATAGCAATAATAACTGCAGTGTTTATTGAGCACTTTCTCTGTGCCATGCACTGAGCTAAGTCCTTTCAGTGCCTTATTTTGACATCTCTACAACAACCCTATTCAGGTAGGTACTGTTAATAGCCCCCATTTTATAGATGAAGAAGGTGATTCATTGTGTAGTCACAAAGCTAGTAAGCAACAGAATCAGGCCTCAAACCAGGTCTGTCAGTCTCCAAAACCTACATTACTAATAGCTGTGTATTTTTGTCAGGGAAAATTTTGTGCTGGTGAAATGAGGATGAACATATTAGTGATCACATTAAAATGTGAATTAGTTAAATTCTCATATTAAATACAGATTCCTAGGATAGGTAAAAGCAAAATCTAGCTAGATGCTACTTACAAAAGCTATCCCTAAAATAAAATTGTATGGAAAAACAGAAAATAAAGGAAGACATAAAGATATATCACGTAAATGCTAACAAAAAGAAAGCAATGATGGCAATATTAATATCAAAAATAGCAAATAGAATTCAAGGCACAAATCAGTAAATGGGATATAAAGGATATTTTATATTGATAAGAGTTATAGTACATGAAGACAGTGAAACATTTATAAATTTTTATCTACTGAAGAATATCAGTGAAATGCATAAAGCAGATATTTAGGAAAACTTAAGGGCAGTATGATAAATCCATTGTACAGTCATAGTGGGAAACAATAACATACCTCTATCATAATGTCACAGATCCATTATAAAAAATAGCTAAAGATATAGAGGATTAACAGACTTGATTTTTGTGTTTACGGGTGTATGTGAAAGTATACCCAGAAAGACAGAATACACAAAGAATGTTTATTTTTTAAAAGTAGAAATAATATAGATGATATTGCCAGACATAGCACATAAAATTAATTAAAACAAAAATAATTTCTTAAAAACCTGACCATGAAGGAATTAAAATTTTTGCAAATAATTCTTTGATTAAAGAGGAAATCAAATTTGAAATTATATAGTGTTTTAAAATGAAAAATGATACCACTACTAATCAAAACTTAAGAGATTTGGCCAAAGTCATATTTAGAAATTTTCATATTCTTGAATATTTTCACTTTTGAAAAAAAAAGAGTTCTGTTTCCAGACAAAAAGGAATAGACTCACTTCTCCCTATTCTTCCTGCTAAGTACAGCTAAAAACCCTGGACATTACTCTAATACAAATATAAGAAGACTCTGAAAGTTGGAAAAAAGAAGGGAGACTGGCTAGGGACTTTGAAGCTAAGAAATGACACAGCAGTGAATTTCCTGGGTTTTCCTTCTGCCTCATATATCCTGGACTGGGTGCTGGAGAAGTTATCATCCCAGAAACACAAATGGGTACAGATTTTAAAAGGTCCAGGAAAGACCTTCTCCCTCTAGCCAAAGGAACAGGAAAGGGACAGTCTAGCCAGACAGAAAACTTCTAGACAATAAATGTGTTCTAATCTACCCAAATACCACAGAAAATAACTACAGCCCCATTCCCATCCCTATCAGCGAGGCTGTGTGGGGAACCTAGACTACTGCCTTCACACAGTTGTGAAGAGGTGCCCCCTCCCTCCTTAGGGATAGTGTCTGAGAAGAACTAGTGGGGAGCTTAGACGTTCATCCTTACTGAACAGTAGAGGAACTCCTTCCACACCCACCTAGCAGTAACAAGGCAGTGCCTCTTCCCTGCTGCACAATATCAGAGGAGACTTGCTGAATCAGAAGATTCAATAAGATCCACAGTCTTGTAAGATGATACCCCAAATTTCCAGAATACAATAGAAAATCATTCATACCAATGCCCAGGAAAATCTCAACTTCAATGAGAAAAGATGATCAACAGATACCAATACCAGGATGACAAAGATGTTGGAATTACAACAAAGATTTTAAGGCAGTCATCATAAAAATACTTTACCAAGCAATTACAACCACACTTCAAACTTGAAAGTAGGAAGTCTCAGCAAAGAAATTGAAGAGATGGAGAACCAAGTGAAAGTTTTAGAATTGAAAACTATAATAACTGAAATGAAAACTTACTAGATAGGCTCAGTAGCAGAAGAAATAGACTGAACTTGAAGATAGAACTGTAGAAGTGAACAAGAGTAAAAACAGACTGAAAAATATGAACAGAGCCTCAGAGACCTATGGGACTAATAATGAAACATCTAGCATTCATTTTATGAGTCCCAGAAGGAGAGGAAAAAGAATATAGGTCTGAAAAAAGTATTCCAACTAATTATGGCTGAAAAAAATGGCAAAAGGCATAAACCTACAGATTCAAAAAGCTGAGAGAGTCCCAAACAGGAAAAACCCAAAGAAATCCATGCCAAAACATAATGATCAAACTCCTGAAAATTAAAGAAAAAGAAAAAATCCTGAAAGCAGTAAGAGAAATGATACATTGTCTATGTGGGAAAACAACTAGAATGACAGCAGATCTCATCAAAAACCCTGGAGAACAGAGGGAAGTGGCATAACATTTTTCAAGTGTTTAAAGAAAAGAATTAATAAACTAAGAATTCTGTATCCAGTTAAAATGTACTTGAAGAATAAAGGGAAAAAAGACATTCTCAGGTGAAGCAAAACTAAATGAATTTGTCTGAAGGAGATCTGCTCTAAAAGAATAGCTTAAAGGAAATTCTTGAAATAAAAAGGAAATAATGCAAGATGGAATCTTGGAACATCAAGCAAGAAAAACAACAGTTGAAAGAGTAAGAATATAGGTAAATACAATAGACTTTCTCCACTTCAGTTTTCTAAATTATGTTTGGCGTTCGAAGCGAAAATCATAACACTGTCTGATGTGGTTCTCAAAGTATGTAGAGGAGATCTTTAATGCAGTTATATATTGGGGGAGGTAAGGGACTGAAAAGGAAATAAGTTTTTTTTCAAGCATAAACATTGTAAAGCAATTATACTCCAATAAAGATGTAAAAAAAAGGAAATAAGGTTTTTACACATCACTTTAAACTCGTGAAATGTTGACACTAATAGACAATGATATATGTATAATGCATGTTTGTATATATTATGTAATACCTAGGTTAACCACTAAGAAGTCTATACAAGGAGATAAAGTAAAAAACACTATAGATAAATCAAAATGGAATTCTTGTGTTTCAGAAAGCAGGAAGAAAAAATAGAAGAACAGAGGAACAAACAAAAAACAATAAGTAAAATGGCAGACTCATTCCTCATATATCAATAATTACATTAACTGTAAATAGCCTAAATACACCAATTAAAAGACTGAGATTGGCAGAGTAGATTTAAAAATGACCCACATATATGCTGTCTCCATGAGATTCACTCCATATGTAACAATATAGGTAGACTAGAATAAAATAATGGAAAATATGCCATGTAGAATTAATTTTAAAAATCAGAAGTGGGGGCGGCGGCCGCTACGGTGCTGACAAGATGGCGGCTGGCGGGGCTGTGTCTGCGACGCCCGAGTGCCGGCTTCTGCCCTACGCGCTACACAAGTGGAGCTCCTTCTCCTCCACCTACCTTCCTGAATTATGACATGGCTAGCTCCCTCATATTGTTCAGGTTAAGTTCCAAGAAGTGGAATAATTCTGAGGCTGTATAGTATGGTGATTAGGAGCGTTGGCTTTAGAGTCAAATTGCCTTGGATTCAAATTATTTCTTAGGAACATTTTAGTGGATAAGCCAAATGACCAGTCTTCACGGTGGTCTTCAGAGAGCAACTACCCTCCCCAGTACTTGATTCTGAAGCTTGAAAGGCCTGCTATAGTCCAGAATATCACATTTGGAAAATATGAGAAAACTCATGTCTGCAATTTGAAGAAATTTAAAGTCTTTGGTGGAATGAATGAAGAAAACATGACAGAGCTATTGTCCAGTGGCTTAAAGAATGATTATAACAAAGAAACATTTACCTTGAAGCATAAAATTGATGAACAGATGTTTCCTTGTCGATTCATTAAAATAGGTGTGTGATGATAAGGAATACAGTTCAATTCATACTGTATTAAGAAATACTGGGACACTTTCCTGCTACATTTTGTGGCACTACCAAGATGCCAACAGTTTTATTCAGCATTGCCTTTGCACCATGAGTGCAAATGTCAGTACAGTTTAAAAAAAAAAAGTCTATAAAGCCCTAGTCTTATTATGAAAAATAGTTTTGACCACATGGGACCTCCTGTGGGGATCCCCAGGAGCCCATGGATCACAGTTCCACTCTTATCGTGGGGACCCAGCTTTAACTTTAGCATCTGGTATGTTGAACTTAGTGGCATTGATGATCCCGATGTAGTACAACCCTGTCTCAACTGGTATAGTAAGTACCGTGAACAGGAAGCTATTCGCCTTTGCCTAAAACACTTCAGACAACATAACTATACAGAGGCCTTTGAATCACTGCAAAAGAAAACCAAGATTGCCCTGGAACATCCCATGTTAACAGATCTGCACGATAAATTGGTACTGAAGGGTGATTTTGATGCTTGTGAAGAATTGATTGAAAAAGCTGTAAATGATGGCTTGTTCAATCAGTATATCAGTCAACAGGAATATAAGCCACGATGGAGTCAAATCATTCCGAAAAGTACCAAAGGTGATGGAGAAGATAACCGACCAGGAATGAGAGGAGGCCATCAGATGGTTATTGATGTTCAAACAGAGACTGTTTATTTGTTTGGTGGCTGGGATGGAACACAAGATCTTGCTGACTTCTGGGCGTACAGTGTGAAAGAGAACCAATGGACATGTATCTCTAGAGACACTGAGAAAGAGAATGGTCCCAGTGCTAGATCATGTCATAAAATGTGCATTGACATTCAACGAAGGCAAATCTACACACTGGGGCGTTATTTGGATTCCTCTGTGAGGAACAGCAAATCTCTGAAGAGTGATTTCTATCGTTATGACATTGACACAAACACATGGATGTTACTCAGTGAGGATACTGCTGCTGATGGAGGACCGAAACTGGTGTTTGATCATCAGGTTTGGTGCACAGATAACTGTATGGTGGAATTAATTAGTGCTCAGTGACTATTGCTCTTAGAGTTTATTTCACATGTTATGCTGAGTTTTCTATTGGTGGTTTCTACTACAAATACCTATGACATATAATAAAAAGAATTACTGTTTCAGTAAAAAAAAAAAAAAAATCAGAAGTGGCCATGTTAATATCTGGTAAAATAGACTTCAGAATAAAGAGAAAAAATATAGATAATAAAAATAATGTTAAGAATGAGGAAGGGGATATAGCAACAGAAATGGAGGAGTCTTTACAAATTATGAAAGAATACCAAATACAATTTTATAAATCTAGATAAAATTGACAAGTGTCTAGAAAAGTAAAATAAGAATAAGCTTTAAAAATAGAGACACATATAGAGAACAAACTTATGGATACCAAGGGGGTGGGATGAATTGGGAGATTGAGATTGACATATATACACTACTATGTATAAAATAGGTAACTAATGAGAACCTACTGTATAGCACAGGGAAACTACTCAGTGCTCTGTGGTGACCTAAATGGGAAGGAAATCTGACAAAGAGAGGGTATATGTATATGTATAACTGATTCATTTTGCTGTACAGCAGAAACTAGCACAACATTGCAAAGCAACTGTACTCCAATAAAGATTAATTTAAAAAAAGAATAAGCTTAGGGCTTCCCTGGTGGCGCAGTGGTTGAGAGTCCGCCTGCCGATGCAGGGGGGACGCGGGTTCGTGCCCCGGTCCGGGAAGATCCCACATGCCGCGGAGCGGCTGGGCCCGTGAGCCGTGGCCGCTTAGCCTGCGCGTCCGGACGCTAAAAAAAAAAAAAAAAAAAAAAAAAAAGAATAAGCTTAATAAGAAATATGCATAAAACTATGTAAAAAAATTATAAAGCTAATAAAAAACATAAAAGAAGATTTTAATTACTAGAGAGACATACCATGTTGCTAGATGGAAATAGTTAATATTGAGAAGATGTTCATTCTTATTAAATTAATCTATCAATTCAGTGAATTCCAAATCAAAATAAAGACAAATTTTTATGAACAAGCTGAATCTAAATTGCATATGGAAGAGAAAGTGTACAAGAATAACCAGATTTTTTAAAAACTAGAAACAAGAGAAGATAGATCCATTGGAATTACAATAATGATAAAGACAGCAATCCAAATAGCAGCAAAAGAATATAAATAAATACATTTGGGAAAATCATTCATTTAGGCCTGCTACTTTACATTTTATGCAAAATTAAATTCTAAACAGATTAAACAGGTAAGCAACAAGAAAAACTATAAAAGTATTAGAAGAAAGTATGGGAGAATGTTTTTGTGATCTTGGGCTGAAGAAAGCTGTACTTTGCAAGACACAGAAAGGAAAACTTGACAGATTTTAAAACATGAAAATCTAAATTAATCTTTGTTTCTAAATAAATATTTTATACAAAAATGAAGTGTGGTTGAGGCTGAAAGACAAATAATAAAGTAGATAAAATATTTGCCATACATATGATAGAGAAAAGGGTAATAGTCACAAAACATAAAGAGGCCTTGAAAGTCAATTGAAAAAAAAAAAAGATTATTTATTAAAAGCATGGGAAAAGAGCTTTCCAACCCAAGCCTGGCAGAATGGCTCCTGCAAAGACGGGTGGCAAGAAGAAGGGCCAGTCCGCCATCAACGAGGTGGTGACCAGAGAATACACTATCATCATTCACCAGCGCATCCATGGAGTGGGTTTCAAGAAGCATGCCCCTCGGGCACTCGAAGAAATCTGGAAATTTGCCATGAAGGAGGTGGGAACTCCAGATGTACACATTGACACTGATCTCAACAAAGCTGTCTGGGCCAAAGGAATAAGGAATATCCCATACCGTGTCCATGTGCGGTTGTCCAGAAAACGTAATGAAGATGAAGATTCACCAAACAAGCTCTATACATGGGTTACCTATGTACCTGTCACCACTTTCAAAAATCTACAGACAGTTAATGTGGATGAGAACTAACGGTTGATTGTCAAAGTTTTCAAACCACCAAAAAAAAAAAAGTGGGAAAAGAACATGAACAGGCAATTCATAAAAGAAATACAAATAGCCAGTCTATACATGAAAACATGCTCAATCTTACTAGTATTAAAATTAAAACAATGTATTTTTTAACGTATCAGATAAACAAAGATTAAAAAGATTATTAACACTGTTGTTAAAGATGTGGGGAAACATCACTTTCTATACTGATGGTAGACATAGTGGCACAACATTTTTAGTGTGCAGTTTGTCAGTCTATAAAGTTTTTAGTAAGTGTTCCCTTTGTTCTAGCAGTTCTACTTGTAAGAATTTATCCTAAGGAAATAATAGAAAAATTGCATCACAGTGTTGCTTATAATACAACAGTCTAAATATCTGTTATGGAATCAATTTTAGATTTTGCAAAGAATTAGTTAGAGAAAGTGGATCACAAAAGAGTATGATCCCTTTCACATAAAGTTGGATAATTGTTAGCCTTCTAAATATTTTTTATGCCTACCCACATACACACATGTAAACCAAAGCTCATTGGATGAGATAATGTATAAAGTGTTCAGCACAGTACTCGGCACATAACATTCAACATATGGTTGCTGTTGTTATTATTGTCAGCATTCAGTAATTATTCTGTGTTCTGCAATCAGGCAATGTGCTAAGTACTTACAATAAATAAGATACTGTCTGTGAGGAACTCTCCTCTCTTGGTCATCATCCCTTACCATTTCCCATTCTGCACAGCGTCATTGGCTCTCAGATGAAGTGTTGAAATACAGGGTGGTCAACGAGGACTGTCTAATTTGTACCATCACCACCAGAAAGTTGGTTTAAAATAATTGAAAGATTCCCCTTATTTCAAAGTTAAAACCACAAAGATTGTTTTAAAATTCTCTTCATTTTAAGATGAAGATGGAACCAGCTTGAATTCAAGTATCCTGGCAGCACTCCGAAAAATGCAGGATGGCTATTTTGGTGGGGCAAGGTAAGTGACCTCTATGCATTCAGTAGTGAAATGAAGTGAAATTTGGAAGCTGAGTATAGTAATGGTAGACTTGTGATGCCTTTCTCTGTATCTTTAGCAACATATACCCATCCTATTCCAGGAGCTGGTGTTTGATAGATTGAATCAAGGAATTTAATGTTAAAGAGAAGGGTTGGAATTTTTCCTCACCCTGTTCTTTGCCTACACCCCATAAATTCAGTGGATCAGGAAACTTACCCTGGAAGGAAGGAAGAATGGAAGGGAGGGAGGGAAGGAGGGAGGAAAGTAGGTTACTGGACTATTCAATTCTCATGCCTTTTCTTTTTTCCCTAAGTTTTTATTTTGAAAAATTTCAAGTAGACACAAATATGCAAGAATCTTATTGAATACCATATACCCTCCCTCAAGACTCACCTGTTGTTAACATCTGTCCCACTTGTGTATTCTCTCTCCCCCTTCCCTCCCTTCCTTCCTCTCCTCCCTCCCTTCCTCTCTTGTTCCCCACCCTTCTCCCTCTCTCACACATACATATGTGCGCACACACACACACACATGCACACACACACAAAGGCACACACACTTTTTTCACTAAAGTGTGTGAGAGTTAGTCAGAGATATCATGACTCTTTAACCCTAAATACTTCAGTTTCTGTCTTCTAAGAAAGAGGGCATTCTCATACATGACTACAATATAATCGGCACACTCAGAAAAGTTAATATTGATACGATACTATTATCTAATATGGAGTCCCTATTCAAAATTACCCAGTTGTCTCAATAATGTTTTCCCATAGCTTTTTTCTCACTCCAGCTCCAATGAAAGATCACTCATTGGCTTTTAGTTATTATATCTCCTTGATGTCTTTTAATCTAGAGCAATTCCCCAGCCGTTTGTTAATATTTCATGACAATTTTCATTACAGTTTTAAAGAAAGAAGGTCAGTTATTTTGCAGAATGTCTCTCAGTTTGTTTAAAATGTTATCTTCTGAGTCACTTTCCCCTGTCTGAGTTTACTCATTGGTGACCTCACAATGGACGTGTCTATTGCTTGCCAGCCCTTCCATGGGGAGAGCACTTCTCTCCATATTCTTCATAATCCTCCATTCGTGTCTAGATTCCATTATCCTTTCCCCAACAATCTTTGACCAAATGGCTTTATCTTCCATTGATCAATCAGTTATTTCTAATGGGGTTGTAAAATCGTGATTCTGTGTTTCTATCATTCTTTGTACATGTATTTGTTGGAATCCTTCTGTTAAAAAAAAAAAAAGCTCTCCCTTACCCCCTTTAATTTTGTAGTTTTATTGCCAGCATAGAGTCATAGATCCTTATTTTATTTTTATGTCATGCTTCATTCCATTGTCTATTTCAGTGTACATATTATTCAAGATCTGGCCATTGGGAGCCCCCTCAAGCTGACTTCTTTAGAAAATCAGTACTATTGACTTTCCCTTTGGGTTTGGTTTTGCAATTGGCTTTATAAGTAGGGGAAGATATAGCTTACAATCTACTATAATTCTTAAAATTGTCAGATACCGTTTTTTTCTTTTCAAAATGGTCTTTTTGAGTATTTTTTGAAATGATATGACAGATTTGTGGTGATTTATCTTCATTCTGTCCTAGCTTCTCTTGCAGCCAATGGAAGTTTTTGCCAGATATTTGGCATAGTTAGCAATGTAGTATGTGGCAGTGAAAGAGAGCAAAACTGATCTGCTGGTGGATTGTGAACCCATAATTGTAGTCTTTATTAACATAGTACCCTAGCCTATACTACACTATGTCTAGGAGTGCTGTAAATTTTCACTTTTACAAAATTTGTACTAATGTATAAACGTTAGTAATCCCCCAACAGAACATTCTAGGTATCCTTTTTATCACTAAACTGTGTTGTTTTGAAAATGATTTCCTCTGATTTTCTGTTTTCTGTTTACCCTCTTAATTGTCAGGATTCAAACAGGTAAACTGTCAGAGTTTTTGACAACATCTTGCTGCACACATTTGAGCTTTATGGAACCTGGACCTGAGGGTAAATTGTACAGTGAAGATTATGATGACTATGATAATGAGCTGGAATCTGGTGACTGGATGAATGGCTATGGTTCAACCAGTAATGGTAAGGAGGCTTCATAAATGCACTGGCCTTACTGGACAAGAATACAAAGTATTGTTGATCATCTTCCTTAATACTTCTCCTGCCAGCAGTCTCACTCCTATTTAATACACCTAGATTTCTGCTTTTGTTTGGCTTTACTTTTCATCTACTTACCTTTGGTTTCTGGTCTAATATCCCTGTGGTGATTGTGGAGTATAGAGTTGGACTATCCCTTAGTAAGGTTAGGGGAGATTTCTCTCCCAGGTACATAAAATGAGTGGTACTTTAAAAATGGGAGGAAGCAATGGTGAGTGAGAGATATTTAATCAAGTATGTAGTAGGAAAACTAGACATATACGTACTGCTTTTTGACATTAAAAAGCATAAAAAGTGTAAAATTCCATCAGAGTTCTTTTATATAGAATATTATATAATCTATAATTTTATATTCTAATATATTCTATATATTCTAATTTTATATAGTTATTTTATATAGAATATTATAGGGGTACATCAGAATCTCTGGGGAGGTCTGCGTAGTTTGAAAAAGCCGATTTGGTACACCTATTGCTTTCATATTACAAGTAGACAAATAAGGCAGAACAAAATCTAATTGGCTTCTACGAATACAAAGATGATATAGTGAGAAAGCATCATGGGGGCCTGACAAGCACCCTAAAGTGTTCAAATGCTGACCTAGGCAGGGCAAACATTACATTATTTGAATCCCACAGAGAGAAGGGCCAGTGGGAGTGAATTATTGTTCTAGTTATGTAAAACATGGTTTGCCTGCTTTCGCTGTCTGGTTTTCTGATTGTTAGCCTATATCTTAAGGCAGCCAATTTCTTTATCTTAAGAGTGGTGTGTTGGAGAGAAGAAAAATAAATAAATTAGCTTTCCTCAGTGAGCTAGCAAGCATAATCTCATATACAATAAACCCAAACACTAGCAGTCAGAAGGACTGTTTTCTCATTTAGGCTCAGCATTTACTCACCTAAGTACAGCTTAATTCACTCTGTTTTTGTAAGATCTAAAATAGTGTGAATTTCTTTGTTTGAAGAGTACATTAAATACAAGATTATTTCCTGTTATCAGTAATACCCAAAGTCATGATATCTATCTTGGCATAAGCTGAAATATTTTGAAAACCAAATAAGACTGATCATATATTGAGGTTGTTTGCTATTGCGTAGGTAGTTGTGATTTACATCTGTAGCACTCATTCTCTTAGATTGCTTTCTTAAATATATCTCTTTAATGATGTGTTTTACTAAGCTTGATATTATGCATTCTGCGTCACTTTCCCCTGTCTGGGTTTACTCATTGGTGGCCTCACAATGGACGTGTCTGTTGCTTGCCAGCTCTTCCATGGGGAGAGCGCTTCTCTCCATATTGTTCATAATCCTCTACTCAAGTGTCTAGATTGTATTCAAGGTTATAATATTTGTCATTAAGATGTCACTGAGTATGAGGTCCACTCCTGCAGCTCTGCTAGTTCCCATTAGTCACATCAGAGTACAGAAAGACATCTGAAGAGTTCCCCAGAGGTAATCAAAATCCAGATGATACATGACTGACGTAACAAACTTCAGTATTATCCAAACATTGGGCTTTTCCAACTATAAATGTTGCAAGTGTTCATGTAAAATCTGAAATGTTAAGCAGCCACGAGATATATGTATTTTTTTTCCATTATCCATAGTCAGAGAGAATGTTATAGAAGGTGTGGGGGGTAGGGAGAGACCAAGAGGATAAGGACTATATCTGTCTTCTTCAGCACTGAAACCTCAGCACCTAGTACACCACCTGGTCCATTGTGGGCAACAAATATTTGGTGAATAAATGAAGGGGGTAACAAAAAAGACCAACGTGTGGTCAGTAGTCCTTTTGACACCAGTGTCACATGGAGCTTGTTTTTTCTTTAGCAATTGTAGCTGCCATTTGTGGAATCTGTCTGTTTTCAGCTAGGCTCAATGTTTAGTAGAATATTTTTGCCCTTCCCCACAAGTCTCCTCATACCAGTGAGACTCAAAGGGCCCTATTCTACTCCTCCACCACAACTGCCACCACCACTACCATCACACACACATACATAGATTATGAAATGCTCCACCTGGCCTATAATAAGCTCATACTACTTTCAGGGAACCTAATATTGTCTCAACAAAGTTGAAGAACAGGTGGATCCTGGTAAATAGCCATAGTTTTTGAATAGTAAAGCTACGAGATTGTATAATGATCACCAGCTATTTTCCCCCATGAGCTAAAACAACCTGGTTTTGGTGCTGTGTTGTGGACACAGGAGCCAGTCATTCTGTTTGGTGGGGTAGATTGTGAAGTAACTAAAATGTTTATTTTTTTCTCTCCCCCCTCCCCACACTAACCTTGCAGCTCGCTGTGGTGATGAAGTTGCTCGTTATTTAGATCACCTTTTGGTGCACACGGTCCCCCATCCTAAAGTAGCCCTTACCTCACAGAAGGGAGGGATAAATCGGTTCCGAGCTGCTGTGCAGACAACCTGCGATTTATTGTCCTTGATGACCAAGGCCAAGGAGCTGCATGTACAGAGTGAGTAATGCCATGACTCACTGGAGTCAGGAACAGGATGACATGAAGCCCAGGATGGGGGTGGGGTGTTTATTACAGTGTAGGCAGGAACTTTGTTTTGTTCACTGCTTTATCCCAGCATCTCAGACAGCACCTAGAACATATTAGATGCTCAAATATTTGTAAAATTAATGAATTTTTACAATTAAAAATGGGTAATTAATGGGTATAGTTTTGCTATAGATAGTGCTATGTAGTCTGGTTTAACCAGTTACATAGGAAGAAGAGACAGAACAAGAGACATGGAGTATATTCAGTTTTAACATCAAAGTATTAAAATGTGGAAAGGATTTTTTCCTCCTTTGGAAAAGTTACTAATTTGGAAGTAATTTTATTTAAAGAGAAAGCATTGCAGACTATTACAAGATAGCCTTGCAATGGAAAGGGAGATATTCTCCCTTAAGTAAGCTAAATCTGGTTCCTTAAGCCAGCTGTAACTTATACAGTCAGTTGTTCCAGCAGTGTAGAGCTGTATTTGTCAACATTCTTCAACAGCTTTACCATTCTTCTCCCCAAGACTACTATCCTCCCTCAGTAGTATTCACAGTGGAGGATGTCTTCTACCACACATTGCCAGGAGTAGTCATGGTTCCTAAGAGTGTTCAGTACCTGTATGATAGCTGCATATGAAGGGACAGAGGGCTCCTTGGCCACACCTAGAGGACCTAAATGTTAACATTTCACAGATGATGAGAATGATTGAGATGCATGATCTTACTGTCTAAAATTTTATTGACCATTACTAACCAACGATATTAAACATGATCATTGGGGAATCATTTAACAGTTAGAAAAGGGAAAAGCTTAGCATACATAGCCTTTGTGTATGCTTCCTTGACAAAGGGCTTATGCAAAGACATCAGCTTTATTAAGTTATACTTCTTGATTGTGAATCAGGAAAGTTGAGCTTAATTCCCAGCTCTGCTACTTACTTGCTTGAACAGTTATCTGAGCTCTGTATCTCTCTTTCTCTATCTGTAAAATGGCAAAAATGACAAGAGAGTCTCTCCTTAGAGGTTATGGTAAGTGTTTCAACAATGAACTGTAAGTAAAAATCTTAGGAATATCTCAAAGTTGGTCAGCCACTACATTTTTTGATTCCCTAGATAGGGTCATCCGTTTATCTGTTCTCAAGCAATTCCAACTGCTAGCAGCCAGATATTCTTCTGGGAGAGTCCAGAAAATATAAAATGTAACTGGGTTCTTTCTGTTATATGTGGTATTCTATTAAAGTATCAGTGATGGCACCATTGTGGTATTGATTACATTTGTAGAATTTAATATCTTATATATCCAGCTGATGCTGTAATTCTAGATATTCCATTCAAAATATGTTGATTGATTGATTGAATATCCCTTGATTTATCTGACCTTCATATTTCTTTTCTTTGCTATTACCAAGAAAGGGTAAACTTCTCATTCTTGTTCTATAAAGAAACAACCCATATGTAACTTCATTGTTGAGGTCAACTGTGCATTTTTATTAATCTCTTAATTATCTAAGCTTTTCCATAAATATCAACCTCTTGCAGATGTACACATGTATCTTCCTACAAAGATATTTCAGGCTTCCCGGCCTTCACTCAACTTACTTGACTTACTTCATGCACCACAAGAGGACCAGGTAAATTTGCACAGGAGGTATTTCTATCAGCTTTTTCCAAAACTGCCATTCTTACAGAAAATAATAGAACTAGCCATTATGGTTTCTACTAGTAACTGGTGGTAGGCAAAATGCCACCATGGTGAAGATATATGTCCTTTTTAGTTCACTTTTTAAATGGGCAAGTTTTTCTAGTCAGGCTTAAGAAAACTAGATTGCTGTATCATGCATTCTGAAGGTGTCATTGTTTTTGCTTTACTTTTTTTTTTCTTTTTTTTTTTTTGCGGTATGCGGGCCTCTCACTGTTGTGGCCTCTCCTGCTGCGGAGCACAGGCTCTGAATGCACAGGCTCAGCGACCATGGCTCACGGGCCCAGCCGCTCCGCGGCATGTGGGATCTTCCCGGACGGGGACACGAACTCGTGTCCCCTGCATTGGCAGGAGGACTCTCAACCACTGCACCACCAGGGAAGCCCTGCTTTACTTTTTGTCAAAATTTAGGAAACTCTTATGGAAAAGGTTTAGAAAGTGAAAAGATCAACACTCTAGGGCATTATTTAAGGTGAGCACTTGTGGATTTTTTTTTTGTCTTTTCTCAAACTAAAGGTTCCCTCTGTTCGTGTAGAAATACATCTTCCTAGAGACCCATCTGGGGAGGTGGACTTCAAAGCACTGGGTTTACAGTTGAAGGAGACCTCCAGCTTACAGGAGCAAGCTGATATCCTCTACATGCTATATACTATGAAGTAAGTGATGATATTATCAATCTACTTTTTTTTTTTTTTAATCTACTTTCATTATCATATAGAAAACGAAGTATAGCATATTAAGTATAGCACTGCTCTGGAGTCTCACTGATGTGAATTTGAATAGTTTTGCAACCTACCTACTGTGTAACTTTAAAGTCTCAATTGTCCTCATTTATAAAATTTGGATTATACCTACCTCATAGAATTGTTTTAAAGATTAAAACAAGATAAAATATCTGCAGTCTCTAATACAATGCCTGGTACATAGTAAGTGACTAATAACATAAACATTATTATCATTATTATAGTTATTTTAAGCCTCCATTATTTGGTAAAATCTATAGATAAATAAATTTTTAACTCAAAAGAAGTAAGAATATGGAGGCTTACAGGAAAAAATAAGTAGCATTAGTGAGTGTTTGCTATGTGTCAGGCACCCTCTGCTAGGTACATTTTATCTAGGTACCTCTAACTCTAGGTACCTTGAACTCCTGTCTCCTGTCCCCCAAATTCCCCCACAAAATTACCTGTTCTTCCTCATTTATTCATGTTGTCAGCACCGTGAAGAGGCAGGATGGCCCTCCGCCCTCCCCTAATTGGTTTTGGATGTCTAGACTGATAATGCCACACACATACCAGAAGGGTGTGGGTCCTTAAAAAGCAGGGAAAGAGGCTGGATTTGGAATTTTATTATGATTAGGAGGTGAGACTGGGATGAGGGTTCATTCTCAACAGCACCAAAAGAGGGAACACTCAGACATTTTTATCACCTTGCCCAGGAGTTGGCTGGAAAGGAAAGGGGAGTGGTAGGACTTGAAAGCAGTCAGCAGTCAAATATCAAAAATGGATTCGCAAAAAAAGAAAAAATGGAGTCGCTTCTATGAAATTCTTCATCTCTATTGTTGGAATCAACACCTACCTAATCATCAAGCCTTCTCCCTATATCCAGTTAATCACCAAGTCTGTCCAGTTTTACCTCTAAATATTTATCTTCTGCATCTCTAATATTGCTGCCTTCATTCAGGCCTATATCTCTCCCTAGAACTATTGCTACAGTTTCCTAACAAGTCTTTCTACTTCAATCTAGTTTTCCTCAAACGCCTCCTCAACAGAGGAGGGAGAGTAACTTTGATGATGTTGCCGAAATGCCCAGGCTTACACAAAAGTAGAGAGAATAGTGTGATGAACACTTTTGTACCCATCTCCCAGCCTGAACAACTAAAAACTCATGGTTAATCTTGTCACATCTATATTCTCCTTCTCTCTTCCTCCTGGATTATTTTGAAGAGGATACACCAAACATTTTATCATTTTATTCTTAAATATTTCAGTATTATTTCTAAAAGACAAAAACCTCTTAAAACATAACCACAATGGGACTTCTGGTTCTGGACAAGATAGAGTAAATGCATTTCTCTCTGTTCCTCCTGCTAGGTACAGGAGGACATTATTTATAAAACAAACATAACAAGATGTTGAAAGGTGGAGAGAAGGCGGCAGGCTGGCTAAGGACCTCATGATTCGAGGACTAAGAGGGTGCTGACGTCCCCAGGTTTTCTTTGTTGCCTCACTGGGTGCTGGAGAAGCCAGCAGCCTAAAAATCCCAGTCATTGGGCACAGACAACAAAAGCCCTAAGGAAAACCCGTTCTTCCCAGACAAAGGGCTAGGAAAGAGGCACTCTAGCAACACAGACAACTTTTAAACAATAACCACTCTATTCCAGCCAAGCACCAGAGAAAAATCTGCGGTGCTACCCCTGTCAACAAAGGCTGAGTGGAAAGCCCAGACTTCTGCTCTCACCAAGGCAGGCACTGCTCCAACTTTCTCACTGCCAGGGGAGTGTCAAAGAAGGCTAGGTAGGGATTTGGGACTTTCATCCCCTCTAGGTGGTAATGAAGTCCCTTGGCCTGACTCCAGAGCCTATGCCATTTCCATCAGATTATGGTGTTTAATGAGTAAGTAAAAATGGAAGCTGAAAAGCCCGCCAGCACTAAAGTCAAAGTTTTACACATCCAACTTTATTAAAAATAGCCCAAACATATTTTAAGCTATTTAGGGCCTGCCTGCTTTGCATCCTCCTCAAAACTCAACCTGCATCTGCTAGCAAGAGATAAGCCCTGGGCGATGAGTGTCCCAAACCATTGCTGCCATTCAGAGCTTTCTAACCTAGAGCCTCCCCACCGTGCTACTGAGGGACTACACCTAGACCTGTAACCCCCCTCCTCCCCTCTTCCCTGGGAGTTCCCTTGCCCTCCTCCTGTTATGGATAGTAGAACTTGTGCCTTATATAAGCCTCCTGACAGTCTGATGCTGTGAGGGACTTCGCCTCTCATACAACCCTGTCCAAGTGCCAACTGTTAAAGATTGTTATGTGCTACTACCAAGAAAAAGACATGGTTATTTTTTGTTTTTAACATCTTTATTGGGGTATAATTGCTTTACAATGGTGTGTTAGTTTCTGCTTTATAACAAAGTGAATCAGTTATACATATACATATGTTCCCATATCTCTTCCCTCTTGCGTCTCCCTCCCTCCCACCCTCCCTATCCCACCCCTCCAGGCGGTCACAAAGCACCGAGCCAATATCCCTGTGCCATGCGGCTGCTTCCCACTGGCTATCTACCTTACGTTTGTTAGTGTATATATGTCCATGCCTCTCTCTTGCCCTGTCACAGCTCACCCTTCCCACGCCCCATATCCTCAAGTCCGTTCTCCAGTAAGTCTGTGTCTTTATTCCTGTCTTACCCCTAGGTTCTTCATGACATTTTTTTTTCTTAAATCCCATATATATGTGTTAGCATACGGTATTTGTCTCTCTCTTCCTGACTTACTTCACTCTGTATGATAGACTCTAGGTCTATCCACCTCATTACAAATAGCTCAATTTCATTTCTTTTTATGGCTGAGTAATATTCCATTGTATATATGTGCCACATCTTCTTTTTCCATTCATCCGATGATGGGCACTTAGGTTGTTTCCATCTCCGGGCTATTGTAAATAGAGCTGCAATGAACATTTTGGTACATGACTCTTTTTGAATTGCGGTTTTCTCACAGTATATGCCCAGTAGTGGGATTGCTGGGTCATATGGTAGTTCTATTTGTAGTTTTTTAAGGAACCTCCATACTGTTCTCCACAGTGGCTGAACCAATTCACATTCCCACCAGGAGTGCAAGAGTGTTCCCTTTTCTCCACACCCTCTCCAGCATTTATTGTTTCTAGATTTTTTGATGATGGCCATTCTGACTGGTGTGAGATCATATCTCATTGTAGTTTTGATTTGCATTTCTCTAATGATTAGTGATGTTGAGCATTCTTTCATGTGTTTGTTGGCAGTCTCTATATCTTCTTTGGAGAAATGTCTATTTAGGTCTTCTGCCCACTTTTGGATTGGGTTGTTTGTTATTTTGTTATTGAGCTGCATGAGCTGCTTGTAAATTTTGGAAATTAATCCTTTGTAAGTTGCTTCATTTGCAAATATTTTCTCCCATTCTGAGGGTTGTCTTTTGGTCTTGTTTATGGTTTCCTTTGCTGTGCAAAAGCTTTGAAGTTTCATTAGGTCCCCTTTGTTTATTTTTGTTTATATTTCCATTTCTCTAGGAGGCGTGTCAAAAAGGAACTTGCTGTGATTTATGTCATAGAGTGTTCTGCCTATGTTTTCCTCTAAGAGTTTGATAGTTTCTGGCCTTACATTTAGGTCTTTAATCCATTTTGAGCTTATTTTTGTGTATGGTGTTAGGGAGTGATCTAATCTCATACTTTTACATGTAGCTGTCCAGTTTTCCCAGCACCACTTATTGAAGAGGCTGTCCTTTCTCCACTGTACATTCCTGCCACCTTTATCAAAGATAAGGTGTCCATATGTGCGTGGGTTTATCTGTGGGCTTTCTATCCTGTTCCATTGGTCTGTCTTTCTGTTTCTGTGCCAGTACCATACTGTCTTGATTACTGTAGCTTTGTAGTATAGTCTGAAGTCAGGGAGCCTGATTCCTCCAGCTCCGTTTTTCGTTCTCAAGATTGCTTTGGCTATTCAGGGTCTTTTGTGTTTCCGTACAAATTGTGAAATTTTTTGTTCTAGTTCTGTGAAAAATGCCAGTGGTAGTTTGATAGGGATTGCACTGAATCTATAGATTAGTTCCCTGTGCTATATAGTAGGTCCTTGTTGGTATTTCTAAGTTTTTGAGGAATCTCCATACTGTTTTCCATAGTGACTGCACCAATTTACATTCCCACCAACAGTGCCTGAGGGTTCCTTTTTCTTCACATCCTCACAAACACTTGGTATTTCTTATCTTTTTGATGATGGCCATTCTGATGGGTGTGAGGTGATATCTCATTGTGGTTTTGATTTGCATATCCTTGATGATTAGTGATATTCAGCATCTTTTCATGTGCCTATTAGCCATTTGTATGTCTGCTCTGGAAAAATGTCTGTTCAGATTCTCTGCCCATTTTCAATCAGATTGTTTATTTTTTTTAGTTATTTATTATTTTTAGTAGTGATGTTGAGCAGCTTTTTTTTTTATTGCTTTACAATGGTATGTTAGTTTCAGCTTCACAACAAAATGAATCAGTTATATATATACATATGTTCCCATATCTTTTCCCGCTTGTGTCTCCCTCCCTCCCACCCTCCATATCCCACCCCTCCAGGCGGTCACAAGGCACCGAACTGATCTCCCTGTGCTATGCGGCTGCTTCCCACTAGCTATCTACCTTACGTTTGGTAGTGTATATATGTCCATGCCTCTCTCTCGCTTTGTCACAGTTTACCCCTCCGCCTCCCCATATCCTCAAGTCCATTCTCTAGTAAGTCTGTGTCTTTATTCCTGTTTCACCCCTAGGTTCTTCATGACATTTTTTTTCTTAAATTCCACGTATATGTGTTAGCGTACGGTATTTGTCTCTCTCTTTCTGACTTACTTCACTCTGTATGACAGACTCTAGGTCTATCCACCTCATTACAAATAGCTCAGTTTCATTTCTTTTTATGGCTGAGTAATATTCCATTGTATGTATGTGCCACATCTTCTTTATCCATTCATCCGATGATGGACACTTCGGTTGTTTCCATCTCCGGACTGTTGTAAATAGAGCTGCAGTGAACACTTTGGTACATGATTCTTTTTGAATTATGGTTTTCTCAGGGTATATGCCCAGTAGTGGGATTGCTGGGTCATATGGTAGTTCTATTTGTAGTTTTTTAAAGAACCTCCATACTGTTCTCCACAGTGGCTGTAACAATTTACATTCCCACCAACAGTGTAAGAGGGTTCCCTTTTCTCCACACCCTCTCCAGCATTTATTGTTTCTAGATTTTTTGATGATGGCCATTCTGACTGGTGTGAGATCATATCTCATTGTAGTTTTGATTTGCATTTCTCTAATGATTAATGATGTTGAGCATTCTTTCATGTGTTTGTTGGCAGTCTGTATATCTTCTTTGGAGAAATGTCTATTTAGGTCTTCTGCCCATTTTTGGATTGGGTTGTTTATTTTTTTGTTATTGAGCTGCATGAGCTGCCTGTAAATTTTAGAGATTAATCCTTTGTCAGTTGATTCATTTGCAAATATTTTCTCCCATTCTGAGGGTTGTCTTTTGGTCTTGTTTATGGTTTCCTTTGCTGTGCAAAAGCTTTGAAGTTTCATTAGGTCCCATTTGTTTATTTTTGTTTTTATCTCCATTACTCTAGGAGATGGGTCAAGAAGGATCTTGCTGTGATTTATGTCATAGAGTGTTCTGCCTATGTTTTCCTCTAACTAAGAGTCTAAAAGACCTGTATGCAGAAAATTATAAGACGCTGATGAAAGAAATTAAAGATGATACAAATAGATGGAGAGATGTACCATGTTCTTGGATTGGAAGAATCAACATTGTGAAAATGACTCTACTACCCAAAGCAATCTACAGATTCAATGCAATCCCTGTCAAACTACCACTGGCATTTTTCACAGAACTAGAACAAAAAATGTCACAATTTGTATGGAAACACAAAAGATCCCGAATAGCCAAAACAATCTTGGGAACGAAAAACGGAGCTGGAGGAGTCAGGCTTCCTGACTTCAGACTATACTACAAAGCTACAGTAATCAAGACAGTGTGGTACTGGCGCAAAAACAGAAATATAGATCAATGGAACAGGATAGAAAGCCCAGAGGTAAACCCACGCACATATGGTCACCTTATCTTTGATAAAGGAGGCAGGAATGTATAGTGGAGAAAGGACAACCTCTTCAATAAGTGGTGCTGGGAAAACTGGACAGCTACATGTAAAAGTATGAGATTAGATCACTCCCTATACCATACACAAAAATAAACTCAAAATGGATTAAAGACCTAAATGTGAGGCCAGAAACTATAGATTGTTTATTTATTTATTTTTGTTTTGCGGTACGTGGGCCTCTCACTGTTGTGGCCTCTCCCGTTGTGGAGCACAGCCTCCAGATGTGCAGGCTCAGCAGCCATGGCTCACGGGCCCAGCTGCTCCGTGGCATGTGGGATCTTCCCGGACTGGGGCACGAACCCGTGTCCCCTGCATCAACAGGCGGACTCTCAACCACTGCGCCACCAGGGAAGCCCGATTGTTTATTTTTTTTTATGTGAATTGTATGAGTTGTCTCTTTTGGATATTAACCCTTCATTGGATATATCATTTGCAGTTGTCTTCTCCTATTTAATAGGCGGCCTTTTTGTTTTGTTGACAGTTTCCTTCTCTGTGCAAAAACTTTTAGTTTGAGGTAGTCTCATTTTGCTTATTTTTGCTTTTGTTTCCCACACCTGAGGAGACATATCCAAAAACATATTGCTAAGACCAGTGTCAAAGAGTATACTGTCTATGTTTTCTTCTAGAATTGTTATAGTTTCAGGTCTTACATTTAAGTCTTTAGTCCATTTTGACTGTATTTTTATATATGGTGTGGGAAAGTAGTCCAGTTTGATTCTTTTGCATGTAGCTGTCCAGTTTTCCCAGCACCGTTTATTGAAGAGGCTGTCTTTTCCCCATTGTATATTTGTCTCCTTTGTTGAACATTAATTAAACATATAATTGTGGGTTCATTTCTGAGCTCTCTATTCTGTTCCATTGGACTGTGTGTCTCCTTGTGTGCTGGTTCCATACTGCTTTGAAGACTTCAGCTTTATAGCATAGTCTGAAGACAGGGAGCATGATTCCTCCAGCTTCTTCTTCTTTCTCAAAATTGTTTTGGCTATTCAGTGTCTTTTTTGTTTCCATACAAATTTTAGAATGATTTGTTCTAGTTCTGTGAAAAATGCCATTGGTATTTTGATAGGGATTGCATTGAATCTGTATATTGTCTTGGGTGGTATGGTCACCTTAGCAATGTTAATTCTTCCAATCCATGAGCACGGTATGTCTTTTCATTTGCTTATGTTACCTTCAATTTCTTTTATCAATGTCCTGTAGTTTTCTGAGTACAGGTCTTTTTACCTCCTTAGTTAGATTTATTCCTAGGTATTTTATTCTTTTTGATTTGATTTTAAATGAGATTGTTCTTAATTTCTCTTTCTGATAGTTTATTGTCAGTGTATAGAAATGCAGCAAATTTCTGTATATTAATTTTGTATCCTGCGACTTTTCTGAATTCATTGCTGAGTTCTAGTAGTTTTCTGGTGGAATTCTTTATACATTAGGAAAATTGGCCTATGAATTGCAAATATTTTTCTCAGTTTGTAATTTGTCATATGACTTTGCTTATAGTGGTTTTTGCAATAAGAGTTTTGTATATTTATATATACATATATATATATGTATCAATCTTTCTTTTATGGCTTTTGGTGTATAGTTAGTTCACAGTTTAAAAGTCCTTGACTCTGAAATTATAAAATAGTTCTCCCATATCTCTTTTAGTACTTTAACATTTAAATTTGATACATTTGGAATTTTGGTGTACAGTGTGAGGCATGGATTCAATGTTTTATCCAGATGGCTACTTGATTGTCTTAACATCATTTAATAAATAATCTACCTTTTATCATCTATTAAATTCCCCAGTTTCATAGCACTTCATATATCTTTTATGGTACTTCACAGTTGACTTGTGTTATAGGAACTTTTACGACAATAATGTATATGGTGTGTGTGTGTGTGTGTGTGTGTGTGTGTGTATCTTTTAAAAATAAGCACACATTCTTCTTACTTCATTAGTTCCCTAAGTGTAGCATACTTTCTGAACTTTCATTAGTTAAATTAAATCTTTGACTTTAATTTCAGCTACTTTGAAGCCCATTAAGAGGGTAAAAGAATGTATTTTGTCAAAACACAACTGAAACTAAGACTTATTCTTGTCTAGGTATTCGGCTTTCAGTACCGACTTAAAAATAGTTTTATGAGAATTTGTAGTAAATAACATTCATTTCCTAATGAGAGAGACCTATCAAAAACAGGCATATTTACTATGACACAAACAAAATATTGTTGCCTGTAGCTTTATTTATAATTAAGGTAGACCTGCCTTTAACATTCCAGAGGACCTGACTGGGACACTGGATTGTATGATGAAGGGAGTGCAACAGTCAGAGAGCTGCTTACTGAGCTCTATAGCAAAGTTGGAGAAATTCGTCACTGGGGCCTGATCCGATACATCTCTGGAATCTTAAGGAAGAAGGTGGAAGCACTCGATGAGGTACTATAAATTCTTCTTGAATTTATACCAAATCTAAATGGAGGTGCTTTTTAAAAATTGGTTTCTGCAGTTGTTTTTTAAGGCAGTCACCACAGCATCTAACCATTTAAGATGTTGTTTTTCCCACATAACATTTCTGATTATCAGGTAGCTTTTTTTGTTTATGAATGTCAAATATATAATACTGAAGCATATAAACTGTAGACTTATAGGGGTGTTATAAACTATGAGGACTCTAGGTCTTAAGAATGAATTTATACTAGGCTAAAAGTTCCTACCTTTTAGGAGATAAAAATACTTCATTGTTCCTTCCTAGAAATCCCTCTTTTCTGATCTTCATCGCATTTCCTGAGGAAAAGATTGATGTGTCATTAAGTTAAGGGGGAGCAAAGGTTTCTAGGCTGAAAAGAGAAAATTTCCTGGAAATGTGAGGTGTTATGAGAAGGCTAATACTATTATACTATTTATTCCTAGGCCTGCACAGACCTTCTCTCCCACCAGAAACATTTGACAGTGGGACTCCCTCCAGAACCTCGAGAGAAGACCATCTCTGCGTTAGTATGGTTTTTGTTTGGGTTTGATGAAGCTTCTCTGAGACTTTAAGGAGCTGTGTGGACTGACTGCAATTCTCTTGTCCTAATCTATAAGTGGATGATAATGTCCTACGTGTGTGAGCTTCTATCAGGGACAGTGGATGTGAGAATGTTGGTAGTGATATGACATGAGTAAATGAAAGAGAAGGCTCACAGGGAGTAATACTCAAATGTATTTTGCTCTTTTGGGGTTTTTTTGTTTGTTTTTACTCATTGGCTTTACCAAACGTTTTATTCAAAAAACAAACACACAGGGCAACTGAAATTAGCCCCCACAAAAAATCAGCAATACTCTAGAGTTTGTTCCAGGCCTCTCTCCTTGGCTTATAGATGGCCGTTTTTTCCTTATGTCTCTTCACATTTCTTCTCTCTCTGTGTGTCTCTGTGTCCAAATTTCTCACTTATAAAAGACACCAGTCATATTAGATTAGGGCCCACCCAATTACCTCACTTTAGCTTACCTCTCTAAACACCCCATCTCCAAATAAGGTCACACTCTGAGATACTAGGGATTAGGATTTCAACATAGGAACTTAGAGGGAACACAGTTCAATCCATAACACCTTATTCCTGGCAAACAGAACCTTTTATTACAAATCAGATCAATTTTGTGGCTACTGTGGGCAATGCAAAAGAAGATGGCATGCCCCATGCCCCCAGAGTGCTTAGTATCAACAGGAGAGTCAGAAGTGTAGGAGGGTGTGTGTGTGTGTAAACTGATGAAACTATAAAAACTCAGTATAACTCTATAAGGTGTGATTGTAAAGTAATAAAATGTCTTCTAAAAGGCACAGCTTAAATTTAGTTTATTACTTTTTAGCCATAATAGTTACTTGTCAAATGTTAAGAATTAACCATGAAAGACTGGTCTGGAAGGACGTCATGGGATGAGTTTTAAATACAGTTTGGAAGGAGAAGGGCAATCCAGGCTTAGAGACAGGAGAGCAGAGCTCTCCTGAGTTGATATGGGCCAGAGTGCTTTGGGGAGGCAGTGAACTTTGAAGACTGAAAGAACCAGAATGCTACCAGTAATGATGAGATGTTGAGACACTGACTTGGACTTGGGAGGAGCTTTTTTATTTTCTCAATAAATTTAGCTTTAAGTAGTTGCAGAATTTTGTCTTTCTTCACTATCCTCTTCCTTAGACCTCTGCCCTATGAAGTACTCACTCAGCTGATAGATGAAGCCAGTGAAGGGGACATGAGCATTTCAATTCTTACACAGGTGAGCAGAATTATAAAGCCTAATCTGGTGATTGATATTTAAAAGTTTGTTTTCAGTTGATCTGGCAATTTCTGAAGACCACAAAATAAGCCTTGTGAGATCTAGGGCATAATTTTTGTCTATATTCATTCCATGCACAGGAAATAATGGTATATCTAGCCATGTATATGCGAACTCAGCCTGGCCTTTTTGCTGAAATGTTTCGACTTCGAATTGGTCTGATCATACAAGTTATGGCAACAGAACTGGCCCACTCCCTTCGATGCTCAGGTATATAATTAAGTAACTGTTTGAGGCAGAATTCACTTTTAATAGAGTTCTATTGAGTTTTGAATCAGGAGGGAAAGGAAGCTAATAGATTTTTATCAGTAGCTCAGAAGCTGCATATAGCAGTCTTGTTCCCATGTTAGTCAGTCTCTATATAAGTCAAGGGACTGCTATGACAAATTTATATATTAGTTGTCAACTTCAAAATTCCACCTCCTAGCGGCTCTGCACTCCCAATGACATTCCTACTAACTCCTAGAGTGATCCGAGGCATATATCAAACTAAGTGTGATAGACTGGGTTCAATTCTGATTCAGGCATGGCCACCTCTGGCTGTCAGATTGAGTCACCACATCAGTTTGATTATAGTGTCAGTATTCTGTCTAGTCAACATCAGGATCAAATAAAGGAAGGCAATATTTCTATTCACATTTATCTGACAAGACTCTTTTTGATATTAGCTATAGGTATGTTTGGCAAGGTAACAGTTTTAGTTAGAAGAATAGATGGGGCCTTTGGAAGCTGTAGCACAGAATTATGGGGAGACCCCCTGGCATGACTTTTTTCCTTCGGTATTTGATTTCAACAAGAATGGCAAAGTAATAGAGATAGGGATTGAATACAAAGATAAAATCACAGTTGCAAAACTCAATTTTAGCCATTGTTTCAGTTAAATTTCCCCCAAAGGCTTTTAATTGAGCTGTTAGCAAGTAGCTACATTTATTGGTTTGAATCTAACCTAAATTACATGAGATAATGTATATTTAAATAACCCTTTAAAGGAATAAAGCTAATGATTATTTTATACCTACCATATGCCAGACACTGTACTTTTTGCTTTATATTTACATATATTATCTCATTTAATCCTTACAACAACCAACTGGAGAAGGTATTTTTATCTCACTTTTACTGATGGTAAAAGGAATTGAAACTCAAACTATTGGATGTAAAATAGGCTCAAGAATGTATTGTATAAAGAAGATGTGGCACATATATACAATGGAATATTACTCAGCCATAAAAAGAAATGAAATTGAGCTATTTGTAATGAGGTGGATAGACCTAGAGTCTATCATACAGAGTGAAGTAAGTCAGAAAGAGAAAGACAAATACTGTATGCTAACACACATATAAGGAATTTAAGAAAAAGTATGTCATGAAGAACCTAGGGGTAAGACAGGAATAAAGACGTAGACCTACTAGAGAACGGACTTGAGGATATGGGGAGGGGGAAGGGTGAGCTGTGACAAAGCGAGAGAGAGGCATGGACATATATACACTACGAAACGTAAGGTGGATAGCTAGTGGGAAGCAGCTGCATAGCACAGGGAGATCAGCTCGGTGCTTTGTGACCTCCTGGAGGGGTGGGATAGGGAGGGTGGGAGGGAGGGAGACGCAAGAGGGAAGAGATATGGGAACATATGTATATGTATATAACTGATACTTTGTTATAAAGCAGAAACTAACACACCATTGTAAAGCAATTATACCCCAATAAAGATGTTAAAAAAAATGTATTGTACAACACAGGGAATATAGCCAATATTTTGTAATAACTGTAAATGGAAAGTAACCTTTAAAATTGTATAAAAATTTTAAATTCTTTAAATAAAGCTAATGAGCAATTTTTAAAAAATGAAACTCAGAAAGGTTAATAACTTGCCCAAAGTTACATAACTGATAAATAGTGAAATTTGAGTCCAAGTCTGCCTGATTCCAAATGATCGCCAGTTCAGCACATTGTTATAAGATTACATGTATATATATATATACTTTTTGTCAAGCTTTGGTATCAAGTGATGTTTTATGAGAGTCTGATTATTCAATAATAAACCTCAAGAAGGGATTAAATCCTCAAACATTCTTCACTTTTCCTTAATTGCCCAATACAGATATTTTTTTTCCTGTGGATTCATCAAACCATGGCTATTTATTTCTTCTAGGATAAAGTCAAGATCCCTGGGTCTGATATTCAAGACCCTCAACAGTCTGGCCTCTACCTCCCACTTCGACAGTACTTCCCACTAATTTTATCAGTCCCCATCCTTGGAGATTGATGTCTCCTCTTATTTCTAAAGCATTTATTGTCTATATCTCTCATTTGACACTTAGTATAGCCATGCCATGTTTTACTGTTGTTTATCTTGTTTACGTGTCCAGTCTTTCCCAAATAGTTGGTCAGCCTCACAAGGTCAAGTACCATGTCATACCTGTTTGTACTAACATTGCTAAAAATCATGACCTACATGTAGTAAACTCATAATAGGTGTCTGATGTTGATGAACAAATTCAAGTTATATTCTCAATATTCTTCATAATTTCATAGATTCATATCTGTTCTCTTTTTAAATCCCCATATTTCCAGATAGAGAGAAGTTTTGATTATTTTAGCCCATCTTCACAGATACAATCATTGCTTTCTCTGACTGGTTTCCAGTTCCATTGTGCTCCTTTCATTCTTCCCACTTTCAAATAAAGATTCTACTGAGTATCCTAATGATGTGGAAGAGGGGTGAAGAAGAAATCAAGGGCCTAGTTAATCCATAAACTGGATAATCAGTCCTTAAATTATTAAGAATCTGTTGGAGGATGAATACCTAGGCAGTATGGTGCTGGAAATTTATTTTCTTTAACATCTTTATTGGAGTATAATTGCTTTACAATGTTGTGTTAGTTTCTGCTGTATAACAAAGTGAATCAGCTATATGTATACATATATCCGCATATCCCCTCCGTCTTGTGTCTCCCTCCCCCCCTCCCTATCCCACCCCTCTAAGTGGTCACAGCACCGAGCTGATCTCCCTGTGCTATGCGGCTGCTTCCCATTAGCTATCTATTTTACATTCAGTACTGTATATATGTCAATGCTACTCTCTCACTTCATCCCAGCTTACCCTTCCCTCTCCCTGTGTCCTCAAGTACATTCTCTACGTCTGCATTTTTTCTTCCAATCAAGTGACTCAGAAATTCTAAGCAAGAAAGGAAATAGAGAAAAAATAGGGTGAGAGTGGCAGGTCAATTAGAAATCCCTCTGTTCTAACATTTCTGCTGAGCAGCTGAGGAAGCCACAGATGGCCTGATGAATCTCAGTCCTTCAGCCATGAAGAACCTCCTGCATCACATTCTCAGTGGCAAGGAGTTTGGCGTGGAACGAAGTGGTAAGGTTAAATCACTGCATTTCTATTTCAGAATGTTTGTTTTAAATGTCTCATTGATTTTAAAGTGTTTTTCTTTTATCAGCGGAACTTTTCTCCCAAATAAATAGGACCCCAGTATATGAAAGTTAAAACCAAAGCTGTCTTCTGGAGCAAAATTTGGAAACCACTGTGTGTCTTTTTTTCCCTTAAATGATATGTCAGTTATGTAGATTACTAGCATATTTTGTTTGGGACTGTTTTATACATTCCCTTACATTATCTTAAGACTCTACTTTAGGACAACTAGCAACCTGTATCATCTGAAACTTTCTTGTATTCCAGTTGGCAATAATTCAGTAGCACTTATAGTGGGGTGTGTGTGTGTGTGTGTGTGTGTGTGTGTGTGTGTGTGTGTGTGTGTAGCTGCTACAGTGCACCTGATACATCCTTTCACTTTTAAATTCAAATACATTTAGGGGTCTATCACAAATTAACCTTACACCTGCACTTGGTGGTTTGGTAGTGGTATTTGATATCAAGTACCTAAAACATCAGAGCAAATTAAAAGAGTTATCTCTCATGCTTAACTTTTAGACTTAGAATAAATAAATATATAATGTCAGATGGATGGATACTAGACCTTAGAGTGTTATAAAGCAGTGTTCCTCAAGCCTTACTGTTCATAAGAATCACCTGGGTATTTTACTAAACTGCAGGCTTTAATTTAGAGTTGGGCCTAAAATTCTAACAAGCTTCTAGGTGAAGCTAATGCTGCAGGCCTGTGGACCACATTTTGAATAGCAAGGTTTAGTTGGTTGTTTGGTTTTTATTATTATTAACATAAAAGGAGGACATACATCTAAGTCTTTTAAATGTGGTGGAGAAAAAAATTTGAACCTGGTTATCCTCCCTCTTTCTCTTTAATCTGTCATGCTATATAGTTCGTCCCACTGATTCAAATATCAGCCCTGCTATTTCTATCCGTGAGATTGGTGCTGTTGGAGCAACCAAACCAGAACGAACTGGGATTATGCAGTTAAAAAGTGAGATAAAGCAGGTAAGATACTACTTGGGAACTGAGCTGGGATACTTTCATATTTAAGAACATTCTTTTGGACTCAGACTTTGTTAAGATCATGTATTTTGTTTCATATTCTGAGTTTAATTTGAGCCATTTATTTTTCAGGTGGACTTTCGTAGACTGTCTATCTCAACTGAGAGTCAGGTGAAACAAGTAGGGATCCTTTAATATAGATTAACCTGCCTTTAGTTCTATAAAACATGCATGAGCTTATGGCTTTTTTACAAATAAGATAAGCCACAGAGTAGCTTGTTTGATTCTCCTTTTTAGCAATCTTTCTGCAGATAGCTTTCGTTTTTCTGGGCCAAACTATCTTGCTGATTTTAAGAGGAAAGTAACTTGTTTCTGATAGCAAGAAATTGAAACCTTGAATTCCTCTTGTTAGGATTAATACATAATTTTGGAATTAATTTTATGAAAGTAGACTTACATTTCTTGCTTTTAAGAACCAGACTAGGTAAGGGCTTTTTTAAACATCTATTTTCAGTTATTGTCCAGAAATTAGATTTTTATCATTGTCATGATAGAGGTGTACAAAAGGTGTTGTGAACACATAGAGGAAAAACATATAAATCAATCTGAGAGTTGGTGGGAGTCACCAAACATCATACTGTAGGCTGTTACTAATTTTTTCCTTGAAGATGAGAATAGATGAGTTATTGTGTTATACAAAGAAATAATTAACACAAACTTCCATAGTGTTTTTCAAAACTCTGGGAAATGGTGTGATTTCAAAGTTTTTTAATGAAAAGCTTAAAACTACTCCTTCTACTTCCAAAATAGACTTATGCTAGCTTACAATATTAAAACACGTCCAGAAGAGGAAAGGCAAAATGGAAATTTTGCTTGTTTGTGTGCTTGCGTGTCTGTTTTAGGAGTCAGAAACCATTTAGGAAAATAAAGAGCCAATGCTTGATGTTTAATTTGAAGTAAACTTAATTTAGGTATACCTATCAGATACCCTTTTACGTTTATATTATGCAAGTACAAGACCAGAATGGAATAAGAAAGGGCCTTGTGATAGAAAAATGTTCACTTTACAGGATTTTTCCTAGACAATTTGTATAATATGAACATTTTCCTATCTGAAAGGTTAAAGAACTACATTTCATACTGAAGAGTTAAAGTGATGTTCCTGGTAAACAGTTCTTGTTTTGGTTGAGAGTGATTGGCTAAATACTTCATGGTTGTTTATAGTCACAGAGTATTACTTACATGTTCATTATATATTTAGAACTTGAAGTCCATGTTCCCAGCTAGATTAGCATGATATTAAGGACTTGACCTACCCACCCAGCTATATCATTTAATTTTTTTTACACATACACTACCTATAGGACTTTAAGAAAGCCAAAATCATTAGGACTGTAATTTAGAGGATTGAGAGCTCTAAATTTTCATTACTTTCTTTCTTCTAAATACCGATTTCCACCCTCACCTGCCTGTCTGGTATTTTGTATTGTTCGAAGCCCTTTTCTCTGCCACTCACCAATGCCCTCTTTTCTGATTATAGAAAAAATACTTGTAAAGGTAGTTTTATTTATTTTACCCTTTACCATGACTTTTAGAGTCAGGCTATTTCATCAGCTTTTTTAATGATAACATGCTGGCTAGTTACTTGAATAGTCTGTAATTTTACTCTACTAATAACTTTTAAAAACACATAATGTTTGCTTTGCCTCATCCCCTTTAAAAATTTATTTTCTCATATATTTTTCATAGCCCAATGGTGGTCATCCCCTGGGTGTAGATTTGATGTCACTGTTTTTTCTGGTAACTGCTGTTATCTTGTATTATATGACAATCAGATTGACTTAAAAAAAAAATGAATCAGGCTTCCCTGGTGGTGCAGTGGTTGAGAGTCCGCCTGCCGATGCAGGGGACACGGGTTCCTGTCCCGGTCCGGGAAGATCCCACATGCCGCGGAGCGGCTGGGCCTGTGAGCCATAGGCCTCTGAGGCCACGCGTCCGGAGCCTGTGCTCTGCAACGGGAGAGGCCACAACAGTGAGAGGCCCGCGTGCTGCAAAAAAAAAAGAATCAAAAATTAAAATTTATATTTATAAATCAACTTCATGCAGGGTGATATCTTCCCATTTCTTTTCCAAAAAGGCAGGTGAGGGGGTTCAACTCCAACCTCTTTTCCATTTCAGAAAACAAAATTCAATTTAATAAGTATTTATTTTTTAAGTATCTGTTCAGTCATTTATTCTTTTGATTAATATAATTAATTAAATGCCTGCTATGTGCCAGGCACTGGAAAGCATTGGTATCCGCTGGGAACTTGTTAGAGATGTGAAATATTGGTTCTCATCCTAGGCTTACTGAATCAGAAAGACTGAGGTGAGGCCCAGCAATCTGTGTTTTAATAAGCTTTCTAGGTGATTCTGATGCACTTTTAAGTTTGAAAATCGCTGGGTTACGTATTCTTATTGTTTATTCATTTGTAAATATTAATTGAGTGCCAATTTTGTGCCAGGCACTGGAAATACAATAGTGAACAAAACAGATGTGGTCCTTGCCCTCATGATGCTTACAGTTTAGGAAGACTGATCTCTGATTTAGTTTCCTTGGTTTAAATCAATGATCCATAATGGCCTATGATTTCAGATTTCTTAGGCTGAAGAGATTAAGGCCAGATGCCAACCAAACAAAAAATGGAAAACTATTGGAAACAATATTGGTATTTCTGTTGACTTTAACCAAGTATATACCCTGTAATGAATTAGTGTAGTATGACTTGGCCAATTTTGTCATATCTACATTAATAAAGGAAGACAGAGGCATAGAGGAGGAGTTAATCTAAAAGCTCAGAACTATTGATATTTGGTTTTGGAAAACAGTTTGAATAGCCTTTGTGGTTTGACTCCACTCTCAGCAGCCTAGGATCTTGATGGTAGAGATGAAGACAATGAAGATAAATCAAATGGAGTTCATCTACTTGGTGCATCAGTGTGATAGTCACTGGCCAATAGAAGTGCCTTAGGGCACTTTTCTCTTTTACATAGCAGTGGTGATATAGGCATTTGATCCAAATTAAAATGTAAGAAGTTCTTTTCTCAGAAAATATTTATATTACCTTCTTTTTATTTTATATTTATTTCTGAATCTAAACTGTCAAAGAAACACTTTCCCCAATGTATTTTATCCTTTACTTTTATAAGTTTTATGTTGTAGCATGTACCAATACTTCATTCCTTTATATTGCTGAACAATACCTTACTGTATTGATATACACCACATTTTATTTATCCATTCATCAGTTGATGAACATCTGGGTTGTTCTGGTTTTTGGCTGTTATGAATAACGCTGCTATGAACCTTCATGTACAAGTTTTTGTGTGGACATATGTTTTTATTTCTCTTGGATATACATCTAGGAGAAGTGCTGGGTCATTTGGTAACTGTGTTTAGCATGAGGAACTGCCAAATTGTTTTCCAAAGGGGACTGTACCATTTTACATTCCCACTGGCAATGTCTGAGGGTTCCAGTTTCTTCATATCCACATCAGTCCTTGCTATTGTCCATCTTTTTGATTCTAGCCATTTTAGTGGGTATGAAGTGGTATCTCATTGTGGCTTTGATTTGCAGTTCCCTAATGGCTTATGATATTAAACATCTTTTCATGTGCCAATTGACTGTTTGTTTATCTTCTTTTGGAGAAATGTCCATTCAGATCCTTTACCCATTTGTTAATTGGGTTATTTGTCTTTTTATTGTTGAGTTGTAAAGATTCTTTATATATTCTGGATACAGGTCCCTAAAGGTTCTTTATGTATTATGGATACAAGTCCCTTATCAGATATGTGATTGGCACATAGTTTTTCCCATTCTGTGTGTTGCTTTTCACTTTTTTTTTCTCTGAAGCATATCAACCATGGAATTTACTTTCTTGATAGTGTCATTTGAAGAACAGAAGTTTTTAGTTCGGGTGAAGTCCAATTCATCTAATTTTTCTTTTAGTGTCCTATCTAAGAAGGTGTTGCCTAGCCCAAGGTCACAAAGATCTATTCCTATTTTTTAAGAGTTTTATAGTTTTAGCTCTTACAGTTAGGTCTATGATTATGTTTATGGGTCCCCAAGACCACCTCTCGGGTTCAGTGATTCACTAGGAGGACTCACAGGACTAAGCATACTCAAAGCTATGACTTATTACAGCAAATGAATACAAAGCAAAATCAGCAAAGGGAAAAGGTGCATTGGACAAAGTCCAGGGAAAACAGGCACCAGCTTCCGGAGTGCTCTCTCAGTAAAGTCACACAGGATGCAATTCCCCGTGCAATGAGTTGTGACAACATGTATGAAATATTGCCAACCAGGGAAGCTCATTTAAGACTCAGCACCCAGGGTTTTTACTGGGGGCTGGTCACATAAACAGCCCCTGTCTGGCATGTACCAAAACTCTAGACTCCCAGAGGGAAAGCAAATGTTCAACATAAACCAGTGTTTCCACAAACAGTTTAGGCACAATAAGCCACTGTTAGTCAATTCCGAGAATGGTGGAAACCCTCCCAAAATCCAGCTTTCCAAATGCCAACCAAGGGCCAATCTTATAATCAGGCCTTTCCAAGAATAGCATTTCTGGCCTTCTATGTTAACTCTTTTTTGCACAGTAACCCATTTGGGCTTAATTTTTGTGTATGGTGTGTAGTAGGGGGGTCCAACTTGATTCTTTTGAATGTGACTATCCAGTTGTTCCAGCACTATCTCTTAGAAGACTGTCTTTCCTCCATTTACTTTTCTTGACACCCTTGTTAAAAACGGACAAAAATGCAGTAGTTTATTTCTGAACTCCCAATTTTATTTCACTGATCTACATGCCTAGCCTATGCCTGTATGACGCAGCCTTTTTTTTTTTCCAGAGAAGGAAGGATTTATTACTTGCAGCAAGTAAGGAGAACACTTGTTTTCCCAAAGCAGTGTCTCTTGACACAGTCTTGATTATTGTAGATTTATAATAAATTTTGAAGTTGGGAATTGTGAGTCCTCCAACTTTGATCCTTTTTAAGATTGTGTTAGCTATCATGGGTCCCTTGAATTTTCACATGAATGTTAGGATAAGCTTGTCAATTTCTGCAAAGAACCCAATGGGGTTTTGATAAAGATTGTGTTCAATCTATAGATCAGTTTTGAAAGTATTACCATTTTAGCAATATTAAGTCTTCTGATCCATGAAAATAGGATCTCTATTTATTTAGGTCTTTAATTTCTGTCAACAGATTTTGTAGTTTTCAGAGTGTATGTTTTACACTTCTTTCATTAAATTTATTCCTAAGTATTTTATTCTTTTTAATGCTGTCTTAAACGAAATTCTTTTCTTAATTTCATTTTCAGATTGTTGATTGCTACTGTTTAGAAATACAATTAATTTTTGTATATTGATCTTATATTGTGCAGCCTCACTGAACTCATTTATTAGTTCTAATTGTTTTTTAGTGAATTCCTTATATACAAGATCATGTCATCTGCAAATGACTTTCCACTCTGAATGACTTTTATTTTCTTTCTTAATAGCCCTGGATAGAGCCTCCAGTATAATACTGAATAGAAGTAGCAAGATTGAACATCTTTGTCTTGTTCTGATCTTAGGAGGGAAAACATCCAGTCATCAACCACTCATTATGATGTCAGCTGTGGGTTTTTTGTAGACGCCCTCTATTAGATTTAGGAAGAACCCCTTTGTTCCCAGTTTGTTGAGTGTTTTTTATCATTGAAGCGGTGTTAGAATTTATTAAATGCTTTTTCTGCATCTATTAGGATGATATGGGTTTTATCCTTTATTCTGTTGATAGGGTGTATTACACTGATTGATGTCCAGATGTTAAAACAATGTTGAACTCCTGGAATAAATTCTACTTCATTGTGTGTATTAAAAGGTGTATCATCTTTTTTATATGTTGCTGAATTTTTAGGTTTGCTAGTGTTTTGTTGAGGATCTTTGTATCTCTGTTCATAAGGGGTATTGATCTGTAGTTTTCTTGTGATGTCTTTGTCTGATTTTGGTGTAAGGCTAATACTGGCCTCATAGAATGAGTTGGGAAGTTCCTTCCTTTTCTCTTTTTTGGAAGTGTTTGTGAAGAAGTGATGTTAATTCTTCTTCAGATGTTTGGTAGTATTAACCAGTGAAGCCACCTGTACCTGGACTTTTCTCTGTGAAAGTTTTGTAATTACTAGTTATATCTCTTTGTTATAAATCTATTCGGATTTTGTTTCTTCTGGAGTCCATTTGGATAGATTGTGTCTTTCTAGGAACTTGTGGTTTTCATCTAAGTTATATATCAATAATTTGTTGACATGTGACTGCCAATGGTATGTCCTTATAATCCTTTCTATTTCTTTAAGGTTGGAAGTGATGTCCTCTCTTTCTATCCTGACTTTAATACATTTCCTTTTTTTATTTTTTGGGTATGTCTAGCTAAATATTTGTCAATTTTTTTGATGTTTATTTTCAAAGAAACAAATTTTTGGTTTCATTGATTTTTTTTCTATTATTTTTGGTTCTCTATTTTTCTTTCTGTTACAGTCTTTGTTATTTTCTTCTCTTTGCTTTCAGTTTAATTTGCTCTTTTTTTCTTTTTTTCATTGTCTTAAGGTAGAAGTTTTGGTTATTGATTTGAGATCTTCTTTTTTAATACAAGCATTTATAAAATAAACTTCTCTTTAAGCACTGTTTTAGCTGCATCCCATAAATTTTGGTATGTGTGTTTCCATTTTCATTCATCTCAGAGTGTTTTCTAATTTTCCTTGTGATTTCTTTCTTAACCCACTGGTTATTTAGGGATGTGTTGTCTAATTTCCACATATTTATAAATTTCCCAAATTTCCTTTTGTTACTGATTTCTAATTTAATTTCATTGTAGTAAGATAATATACTTTGTGTCTTATTTCAATTCTTTTAAATTGAAGCTTGTGTTATAGCCTATGGGAGCAGCAAACCAAGCCATAGACCAGTTAGAAGTTTAACAGAAATAACCTGGCAAAGAGACAGTGAAGAACCTCCCATGTCATCAGTATTTTTATGGCTCTTCTTATTTATCACTAGATGCTTTCTGAAAGGATCATACCTGTTTACATTGTTGCTAGCTACTCATAAGTCTTCTAGCTTCTCTATAACCTTTTTGTCTTGGGTGTTACACTTAATTTGTGGTTTATAATTCTGCTGAGTGTGTTTATTATTCATTGTGCTATAATACTTTAATCATAGAAACAGATAACTCTTGATTTATGTTCTTTCCTCTACTTTTCTCCCAAGTCACCTGGAACCTCTATGAGTCCAAGTATTGGGTCCTTCCCTAGTGCATGTGGTCAACAGACATCTAAAGATAGTCGTCAAGGTCAATGGCAACGCCGACGAAGGCTGGATGGAGCACTAAACAGGGTCCCAATTGGATTTTATCAAAAAGTATGGAAAGTTTTGCAGAAGGTGAGCATAATACACTGTAGATGTCTCTTTATTTCACACACCCCCATGAAATTATCAGTCTCCTTGTCTGAGATATGACATGACTATGATATCACTGCAATTATATAAAAGTCATGTGCTCTTATGGATAAAACCTAGAAGAAAACATTAAAATGAAACAGTTGATTTGTTATTTTGACATTACTGATAATTTAGTCTCTCTCCATAACTGTTACTATTGCAGTGTTTATAAATGAGATTTCAAAAATCATCACTTCTCTGCTTTTTGGCCATGGTTGGATATTGTGGGGCATTGTGATACATTTACTGCTAATCAAATGAATGTGGTGATAAAGACTCACTTTCTTTGTAGCTATTGTAGAGTAGAAATGTTACTTGTAGCAATGTGCTGTTAATAACAAATGTTACTACAGTAAAACAACTGTGGCATCTAGGAAGCTTTATGAGATGCTCTTACCTATTTTTTTTCTTGGATGAAAACTACTAAATATATGCAGTCATAGTGGTGCTAATAGTCCAGAGACTACTGGTGTGACCAATTTTTATTTTTCTGTCAAAGGCCTAGTTTGCCAAAGACATTCAAGGGGACATCACACCATTATGATTGTGACAGATTTAGAAGGCCAAGAAGACTATTGTACTCATTCATAGATCTCATTCATAGTCTCATAGGTGCCACTTTTTGCTTCATTGCCCTAGGTAATGACCTGAAGAACACTTCAACCAGGACTTCAAAACCTTTAGTTATGTTTCTCCCCTTAGCACACTGATATTCCAGGGACAGAATCAGGTGATCCTTTGGAAAGGTGAAATTTGATTCCTTGAACTATCAACTCTGTCGATCTTCCTTTCAAAGAGTACCTATCAGTTATTTTCCTTCTATTTAACTGCTATAGCACAGTGGTAACAGATATGTGCTGTATCTCTCCAGCTCTGCCTGGCTTATGGCAATTCAGTTTCACAGACTACATGTAGTAGGTGCTCTTCTACCCAGATACCATGGAAAGTGTCTGTTCTTGTCATCAAAGAGTTTAACCCATAGTTATCTTCTTACATAGTAGCTGTAATGCAAGGCCAAAAGTGTTATGATAAAAGTGCAAAACAAGGCTGTGAGAATACAAGGGAAGGAACATTCAAGTCTGACTGGGAAAATTGGGTATTTTGTGGCAGAATCAAAGCATAAATTTGAAATCCTAATGTAAAGGGGAAAAACAAATGCCGTCTGTTTTTTATTTTTTCATTCCATTCCTTTCAGAGTATGAATGTAACATAATCAATCTGCACATATGTTTCAAGGCTGGTAATTCTCAAAGATTGTTATTTGGCATATGGAACATGGGATGGAAGTGTCTGGTAGGGTCAATAAACTTGTTGGATTGGAATATTTATCTGTGGTTTAATATATAATGTTTTGATTTATTTAAAATCTAAAATGGCAAGTCCTTAATTCCCACTGCTTTTTAATAATTGAATTGATGGTGGGGGGAAGATAAAATATCATTCGTTCATACAGTATTTCTTGAGCATTTGCCATGCACTAGGCAATGTCCTAGGTGCTCACAGGAATACAACAGAAAACAAAACAGACGACAATCTCTGTCCTTATGGAAATTACATTCTATTAAGGAGAGACAATAAATAAGAAACACAATAAGTAAATTATACAGAATGTTGAAAGATGACGTACTGTAGAGAAAGTAGAGCAGAGTGAGGGGATCAGGAGTGCTGATGGGGGATGCTTAACTAGAAAATGTAACTATGCATGTCTGGTAAATGTATATCTTGAGTTTTTTCCCTTCAGCCTAAAAAAATCTTTATGAAAGTCTATTTGTGATGGCTCTGGGACCTACCGTGATATCCTCCCAGATAGTCTCTGAATCTTTAGGGCTAGACTATCCCAGCAGGTAGACCTTCCCGACCCTTCCACTCCCCTAAGTAGAGGATGAACCTTGAGTTCCCTATAGTCCAACCCTGCTTCTTGCCACACAGTAAGCGTAACCCCTTGGCAAAGACCCGTGGGCTGCAGGGCCTTTCCCTGGCCTGTGATTACTCAGCATCTACCCAGTGGAACACACTTAGAAATACTAAGTGTCTCCTTACACTCTCCCAGTTGTCAGCATATCCTGGGTGACATTTTTGCTGTTTTGCAGTGTCATGGACTTTCTGTGGAAGGTTTTGTTCTTCCTTCTTCAGCCACTAGAGAGGTAAGATTCTGTGTCTTTCACGTTAATGTGATTGATAGCTTGTCTGGCTAAAGTATTTCAGTGATCACTTTTCAGAATAACAAATCTATGCTTTTATAAATCAACTGAACAAGAAATGCATTGGAAGAAAGGAGAGAATGTTCTTAAAAAATAGAATGGGAATATTAGAGAATAATTATGTATTACATTAATTATATAAAGGCAGTTTCTTTTAATGGTTGATTAAGTTAGGCTGATTTATGTGTTGCCAGAGTTAGAAATGGCAGATGAGATAGAAATCTAAGAATGAATGAATGAATGAATGACTTCTCATATCCCCATCCTGCTCATCCCTACCTTTCTCTACTAACATGTTTGTAGACTATAAACCAGTGATCATAAACCAATGGTCCTTAGCTCTAACTATATGTCACAGTAACCTGAGCTCCTATCTCCAATTCAGTGGATTAGACTCTCCAGGGATAGGGCATGAGCACCTGTACTTTAAAAAAAAATCCTTAGAATAATTCTGATATATCACCATGGTTGGAAAACATTGCCATGAACCACAGACATAGATTAGGAGGTGCTTTTATATTTTGCTTTTTGCCCAGTCACACTGAAATTATAAAGAAATAGCTTTTATACAAAATCAACAAAAGAGCGAGAATTGGGAAGCTGAGAATAGTAAGACTGGATAGTAGAAAATTCTCAAAAACTCTGGAGTTCTTGTAGATCATGGCTGCAAGGGTGGGTACAGAAAGTTAATGCTGTGTTTCAGGGCTCCACTCCTTCCTAGAAGCCTCTTCCCTAGTAAAGAACACTGTGTCCTCTCTTGGTCTTCTCTCTGCCTTTAAGCAAGATTGAAATGTTAACAGAATTAATAATAATACATACCTGAATGTACCTTTAAGAGTCTGCAAAACACCTTTACACAGTCTTTAATTTGATCTTCAGCACAACTATGTGAGATAGCTAAGGAAGGGATTGTAGTTCCCAGTTCACAGATAAGCATACAAATTTAGAGAAGTGAATTGTCCGAGGTCATAGAACCAGTAACTGACAAAGACAGGACTTGAACCCAGGTCTTTAGACTTCAAATCTGCATTGCCACCCTAAAGTATATACTTAATACAGTTTTACCAAAAATTAGTCCTCAATCCCCTTCACCCTAAAATAACTTCATATTTCTTCATGCCCTTTTTAATCTAACAATATATAAATATTTTACATAATTCTCATCATCACATATATACAATTTTAGTTTCTACTTAGATTTTTCCTTTATCCACAGTAATCTTATTTATTCTTTTAATGATTCTATAGAAACTCATGAAGTTGCTGTACCATGATATGCCATTATTTACACAACCATTCCCATGTTTAGATTACTTCTGGTTTTCCACTTGTGACTAATGCTGCTATAAAACATTCTTGCACATAGGGCTTTTCTCCTCTCTTGAATTATTTCCTTAGGATGAACTTCTAGAAGGAGGATTATGGGTTAGAGGGCATTGATACTTTTATGACTCTTGTTATGCTTGCCAGATTGCCTTCAAAAACAAGATTGAACCTATTTACTCACTCAGTTACATTAAAGGAGACTGAAGCAGTACTCTTGGCTACAGTATTTCTTCTGCCTTTCAGAATAGGTAATTGATGTTTCCTGCATGATGGGCTCTTAGGAAGTGATTTTCTTCTTCTCTGTCACAGATGACTCCAGGTGAGATTAAATTCTCTGTTCACGTGGAGTCTGTCCTGAATCGTGTACCTCAGCCGGAGTACCGCCAGCTTCTGGTTGAAGCCATCCTTGTCCTCACCATGATGTCAGACATTGAAATTCATAGTATTGGAAGCATCATTGCTGTGGATAAAATAGTGCATATTGCCAATGACTTGTTTCTTCAAGAACAGGTAGGCAAACCTGTTGTTTTCTCAGAGAGGAATGTCTGATACTAACCTGACTGCATTCAGAGCTCTTCAAGAAGCCAAGGTCACTTTCTTGTGTCCTCTTCCTCATAGCTCTTTTCTAGGCCCCCTTCTTAGTGGCTCTGAGCTCTATCTGTAAAAGAAGTAAGCTGCTGGATGACCTCTTTTACCATGAGTTTTGTGGTTGTGTTACATGGTAAAGTTGCCTGGAACTCAGGAGACTTTTATGCTTTTTGTCATATTTCAGACTACTTTTATCACACTACTTTTTGTAGTGATAAGGACTTAATAAGAAACTATTGGGTAGTATATCCTTTCTGGACTATTAAGGAAAAGAGAAGATTTGATTTTGGTTTTGTTTTGGTTTTGCTTTTCTCTCTTACCTGTAGGAAAATATTAAAGTGAAACTTTTAATTCTACATTTCTTTATTTTCTTAATAAATCTTATTCCAGGAAATTAAGCACATTTTAAAAATGCAAACTATTGAAAGCTTTCCAAATATTTCTTAGATTAAGAGTAGGACCACGTAAAGTGAAGGACATGCACTGCTGTTAATAGAACAGTCTCCAAAACATGTAATCAGTGTTTCATTCTATTAGGCTCTGGGGGGAATGCAAAGGAAATTAAGTTTCTCTAGGACTTTTCAAGGATTTTTTAGGACAGTCCTAATTTTAAAGATTCTGATTGCTCTTAGTTCATTGTAGCAGAAAATGTGATCCCTTTTAGGCATAGACTCTAGATTGGAAAGCTTGAGGTCTATTTGAATTGTCGACTTAGAAAGAAATAATGATGAAATGCAAGATAAAATAATACATGCTAGGGCTTCCCTGGTGGCGCAGTGGTTGAGAGTCCGCCTGCCAATGCAGGGGACACGGGTTCGTGCCCCGGTCCGGGAGGATCCCACATGCCGCCGAGCGGCTAGGCCCGTGAGCCATGGCCGCTGAGTCTGCGCGTCTGGAGCCTGTGCTCCGCAACAGGAGAACCCACAACAGTGAGAGGCCCGTGTACCATCAAAAATAATAATAATAATAATAATAATAATACATGCTGAAATCAGTGGTACTAAAAGGATTCAGACCAAAGTCCCTCTAGGGTGATTTGTAAGTATTAACATTTGACTCTTTAACAAACACAACTCTAATTACCTATTATATTTAACTTTCAAAAATTCAAAACAATTAATGCTTTAAAAATAATTTCATGTGATTTTACGATCTAGTGAAAAATGCATATATAGAAACTCATAGTCACCATTTTGTGCATAACCCTGATCCCTTCCTGTCTAAACAGCCTAAGATCCAACTAGTTGGTGATGGGGAGGAGGCTCTGAGTTATTCTAATCAGGACTTTAATTAGTAGGATTAGTAATTTTTCCTTTCCCCTGTGTTCTCCCACCCTTAAAAACCAAACAGAAAACCCTCGGCGCAGATGATATCATGTTGGCCAAGGATCCTGCATCTGGCATCTGTACTCTTCTGTATGACAGTGCACCCAGTGGCAGGTTTGGCACCATGACCTACCTCTCCAAGGCAGCTGCCACCTACGTGCAGGAGTTCCTGCCTCACAGCATCTGTGCCATGCAGTGAGGCCTCTAGGCCCTGGCTGCTGGGAGCCTTTTGACAGCTGGCTCCTGCCTCATTGTGCATGGAACTGAATGAAATATGATGGCCTGATCACTCCCGACCGTGCCCCTTTCCAACCCATCCCTCCCAAGAAGAGCGAACTTTTCTGATAAACTAATGGTGTAGAAGATGTGAACCCTTGCCTGGAGGCATCTGCTCACCCAGGCTTTTCAGTGCCTTAATTCTTTCATGGTTCATAAAAGTTTGCGTGTGTTTTTATTCTCTAGATCTGTTTCAAACTTAGTTTTCTAACTCCTGTTTGGGGAGCAGGTGTTAATAATAACTTATTCCTAAAGTTTGATTTTTCTTATGTTTGGTTCATTGTGTGAACGAGTAGTGGGTGCTTTGGAACATTATTTCAAGTGAGTAAACCCTAAATTATTGGACTTTATGCTGCTATAAATTGGAAATATCTATCCTAAGTGCCTTTTCTTGGGAAAAGAGTACCAGATCATGGTTTTCTTCTTTCCTCACATGCTGCCTCACACTGAATGATGAACTCCTTTCTGTGCAGAACTTACTGTCTCTGCTTTTGCCTTCTCTGTATCGGCACACATAATTCTTACTCTCCCTTTGGTGAAATATCAAAAAAATGCAAGTGCAGTGTGCATATTTAAGGATTTCAGTATTAACACTTAAAATCACATTTTATGAAGATTTCTGGTACTCAAAGATGTATTTGTAGTAGAAAATGCAGAATAACCCAGAGAAATGGAGCCAGGAGCCCAATTCCAGAAAGGAGGGGGGCAGAAGAGAAGATGTCTGGGTAGAGTCTTACACCTAGGGAACAGAGAAGGAATTAGAGATGGGTTAGTGCCCTGAAGAGAGCCTTGTACACTAATCCATGGCTCTGAAGAGTGGGCCAGCATACAACACAGAGAATAATTGAAGCCTCTGTCTTTGGCGAACAGGAATATAGCAGTCCAGTCTATAGCTGCTTTACTGAGCACTCTTTCTTTGTGCTCACCTGGTCTCTGTCTCACTCACCTATTCACTCTCTATAGCATCCACCCCCTCCAACTCCCTGCCCCCCTATCTACTTTTAAACTCATTCACTTACATTTTTACTTCCTGATTCTAGTGTTCATATCTATGTATATCTTGATATCTGCAGGCATGTATCTGTCTCTCATAAACACCTGCATTTGTATGTGTGTCTAAGCACATGTGGGAATTTTTCTGAATGTTAAGTAGTTTTGACATGTCTGTATATCTATCTTTATCTACATTTGACAAACTGAGTTAAGTATGTAAATATGAGTGTTGTGTGTGGGAGAGGGGTGTGACTATGGCCTCAGGCTGATACGTAAAAGATAATGGAGGATTCCTTGAGTCCTCTTTCCTAGTCTCATGTTTAGGTAGCCAATTGAAGAATGTTTCTCCTAACTTTCTGTCTTAGTTCCAGGCCACTATAACAAAATACCATAGACAGGGTAGCTTAAACAGCAGACATTTATTTCTCACAGTTCAGAAGGCTGAGAGATACAAGATCAAAGTACCAGCAGATTCAGTGTCTGGTGACAGCCCTCTTTCTGGTTTGTAGATAGCTGCCTTCTTGCTGTATCCTTACATGGCACAGAGAGAGTGAGCTCTCGGCTCTTCCTTTTTTTCTCAGGGCACTAATCCTACCATGGGGAGTCTACCTGATTATCTCCCAAAGGCTCCCACCTTCAAATACTTTCACATTGGGGATTAAGGCTTCAAGATATGAATTTTGGAGGGATGTGAACATTCAGTCCATAGCATTTTACTTCTCCTGTCAAGACTTTACTAATTTCCCTGTTTGCACTCAGATAACTTCCTACTTCAATCCCCTATTTTCCTTCGGATTTTTTCAGGTTTTTCTCCAAGAATGGGGATGGGGGACTCTCTAAATAATTGTAGCAGAACCAGTGACAATATTATGAGTACACATGAATAAATGAGCATAGTAGGGTGATAGAAAACAGATAGTGGAAACAAAGAAAGGATGGCCAAACTTTTCAGTACCTCTCTTATAGGAAATGGAAACACACAGTAAGTAGCTTTCTGATTACGTGATTTTCTGGTCACATATAAAGAAAATTTACACCCTGTTCTGAAACTATCTTTTCCCTGGCTGCAAGTGTACCCCAGCCACAGAGAGTACATCTGGAGTGGCACAGTTGAAAGCCACCACTCCCTCCCACACAAATTTACCTGAACTGACCCTGATGGCTACATTTCTCTGGGTTTATGAAGTTATCTATCACTATGCTTCCCACACACAGCTACTTCACTTTTAAAGCAACTGTTTAGAAAACTTGATTCATATTTTGTTCATTTTAAGCATGTGGTACTAAAAAACACATTGGACACTTTTTAAGCACTTATGTTTTGAAAATAGAATAAAAAATTAGAATTTCCAATTAAATCATGTCTGGTGCCAATGTGCAAAACTTTATGTGTGTTTCTGTGATTGGAGTTTATTTCATGGCTCTATTTTACATACTCTAATTATTTAGTACAGTCAAAGCTCATAATTGGGTCAAAGTAGAATAATATTAATACATAAATCATATATTATATATTATATAATATGGCATGTAATATATGTAAAGAAATGCAGTTTTATCATTCAAGTGCATGACTGCTCAAACTAGGCTCACTGAATTCCAACTAGCTTATTGACATCTGTCGGGAGCCTGTTCTGATGAATGAATAAGACTGATTTTTGGTCAGCATTATAATTGTTTGCAGGTGGTGCTCCTGCACAACTGGAGGGTACCTAAAAACAGTTCGTTCTCCTAAGTGTTATAAATATTTGGCAGAATCTTGTTCTACTACTCATTAGCCTTTTGTGTAACAAGAGAGGGTTTATCCAGCAAGGATGAACAATCTCTGCAGTCCCATCCTGGTTATAGGTTATACTACATTCTGAGAATTTTATGCAGCTGATGGGTCCAAAGTTATTCTTACTCTGACCCTTTTCTACTTACCAAATACCTAGTACCTGTACTAATGCAATGGAGATAAATATAGTGTCTTCCACATTTAGTCTTCATTTCCTATTAAACTTGAGTGACCTTAGGTCTTGGTTTGCCCAAGACAGTCCCCGTTTATGCCTGTTGTCCTGGCATAATTATTAATAGCACTCTCTGTCACTCAAAAGTGTCCCAGTTTGGATGGTATGGTCACCCTCTATTTAGCAGAAGTCTGATTTCTTTTAAGGCTAGGCCTAAAAGCAAAGGACCTGTTCTCAAACCAGTAACAGTACTCTTGCAGTAGCGGTATGCGGGTGAGGATAACAATGGGGTGGAGACTTTCCCCCAAATTAAGGAATATTTGGCATAATAGCTCTTAAATGATAATCAATATTTGAGTGCTTACCAAATGCCAGACATTGTTATACAGGCACTTGTTATGACCATCTTATTCTGTTTTCACAGTCACCATGTGAGTTAATTACTGTTGTCATCCCCATCTTCCATATGAGGGAACTGAGGCACTAAGCATTATAAGCAAGTTGTTGAAAATCAGGCAGCCAGGAAGTGGTAGAGCTTGTATCTGAGCTCAAGCAGTTTGACTCTATAGAGTTCACATTCTCAACAATGACACTCTCCAAGGAAAAGACATTAGGAAGTGGTGTGAAAACAAGGGTCAGTTGGTTCACTACAATTGAGTTATCAGTGGGCATATTGTAAAATGCACAAAGAAGGTGGCCAGAGGGGTGGCGACTTCTTAATGTGTTTGCTTTCCCTTCTGCCTGCTTCTGCCAGCAAGTGAAGGCAGAGGAGATCATCAAAAGAAGTGGCATAGCCCATCCTGACCTTGCTGGTTCAAAAACTACCTTTAGCAAAAATGGCTAAGGAAAGTGAGGCCAAGAACTTGTCCAGGGTCACCACACTAGTAAACTTTGGAGCCAAGATTCAACCTATTTCCTCTGGCTTCAAGTCCTCTGACTGCAAACCTGGTGCTTTGAGAAAGGTTTTCTTCCCAAGTTAAGGATCGTATGGGTATTAAGCTTGTGGAAAGTTGAGGTTGGGACCTGTGGCATGGTTTGTACTCTATCTTAATCATGAATAAGGGTGCAGCCTCCCTGTGGGATTTGCTGTTGCAGATCCTTGTGCAACAATTTATCTTTTTCCATAGTTGAATCATCTTGCCACATTGTATGCCAAATGAGGATACTGTTTCCAGTTTAAAAGCAATGCTCCCCATATTGAAGTGTTCAGCTACCTGTTGCTAGAACTGAGAGAACACATGGAAAAATCAATTTTCACATCAAACAGAGTCCAGACTTTAGTCTCAGTTGGCCAGTCTGTATCCTGCCCTCTTTCTCCACTGTCTATCCATGAAAAACCCTGGACAAGTCCTGTTTCCTCCTTATATTGCCAACTTGTCATGATCTCACCTTTTAGTCAACTCCTACAGCCCCATAGACTCCTTCCCCTCTGTAAACATGTGCATTTCTCTCTTATTCTAAAAAAATATTCCTGGGCTCTGACATCCCCCTAGGTTGATAGACTATAATAATTCCTTCCTTTCACAATCAAATTTCTTCAAAGGAAGTTACACTTGACAGCATTGGCTTCACTCATTAACCCCTTGCAATCTGGCTTCCTCCCTTGCCTCGTGTGTTTTTCATAGAGCACCAGTGAACCCCTAATGGCAAAAGGGGTTTCTGACCCTTTTGCAATACATGACATTGTTACTACCTCTCCCTTCTTGTAACCCTCTCATCCCTTGATATCTGTGAAACTGTACCAGTTCTCACCCAACTATTCCTTTTTTGTCTCCTTTTTGGCATCTTTCTCTCCCAACTCCCACAAACGGCATTCTCCCAAATCACTCTCTTCTTCCTAGCTCAAAGATTCTCACCATGGCGTGGGGCACGTTTTAAAAAGTGACATGATCTGATTTACATTTTTTAAGAAACTCACTCTGCGGCTACAAAAAGAATGGATTGTAAGTCAACAAGAGTGGAAGTAGAAGCCAGCTAGGTATTGCAGGAAGTCCAAGTGAGAGATGACAGTGCCAGGACTGGGGTGGCGGCAGTGCAGAGGAGAGAAGTGGAGGTAGTTAAGACACGTCTTGGAGGTGAAACCAATGGAAATTGATGGATTAGATTTGGGAGTGAAAGAAAAGGAGGGAATACAAATAACTCCCAGGTTTCTGGCTTAGTGAACTGGATAGACGTTGGTATCTCTACTGAGCTATGAAAGATGGGGAAAGGGTGGCAAAGACTTGGATAGGAAAATCAGGAGTTTGGTTTGAAAATGTTAAGTTAGGTATGATTAGACATCGCAGTGGAGACAGCCATGTTCCCTTGACTAT